AGCTGATCTATACACTCTTACACTCGTAGGGCACATTGTCTTTGAAACAAAATGCTTTGCGAGAAAATCTTTGGCAAACATCAGCCTCAAACTTCGTTGTGCTAAAGCCTGCTAGGTGAACGATTCATCGCTAAAGATACTTCAGAGAAAATGCGAAGATGGCGAACTTTGAAAGGAATGATAACTTGAACGAAATTATTTTTACTCATTCTTATTCTATAAATCGCTCGCTAATTTTTTTCCATATAATCCCTGCGCGCTCACACCTCACCGCCTCCTCTCCTAGAAAGGACGAGTATCCTACGCCATCCTTCTACACTCCTTTCTTTCAATTTTTCCTGTCCTGTCCACCAAATTGTTACAATCTATGGCGTTCATATTTCCATGGAAACACAACTCTCATAGGTACCTGTAGTGCTCTAAGCCCGTTTGACTTCAACAGTGCTTCATTCTTCACGCTTCGCCTATCGGTATACCCCTCATACAGGGACCGTGCAGAGGGAGGGACGCGAAGGAAAGCTTCAGCTCCGTCCCCCCACTTTTAAAAGAGACTTGTCCTGCTAAGCATGCCCCTATCCTCCCCCCTGCCTAGTTGGCTGAAGCCTATCCGTTTGTAAATAGCCCCTCCCCCCTTGCTCAAGAATTTTTTGCTCAAGCCCTGTCATCAAAACCAAGTTTTGCTTGTATTAAATTAAATTCGTCCATGGATTAAATGATTACTTTATTTATTCACTAATTGCATTATTAGTTTTATTAACTTTAAGATACAATGTTTTTTTTCACTGCCCTTTACTTTACCTTACCTTAATTCATTTAAAGTGGAGACTTGAACATTTACAATAAAATTGCAGACATAGGTGTTCAATTTTGTCGAATTCATTATTCCCTGATCAGGGCTGATCCGTTGAGCTTTAGGCGAGAATAAATTGGTACGATTGTCTTGTCCTGAGCCCTCTTCAATTTCTTTTCCTGCCGCACACAGGATCATCCAAGCAGTCTACCACGGTCTCCTACGGAGAAATCAATTCCACGAGGACGTTTTGTCTTTTGATCTGTGGTCTGACCATGCATGACAGGTAGAACTGAATAATAAATGCAAATAAGAGTCACGTTTGGCTTACAGGTGGGGAACCTGTAGATAAAAGCATGACCAGTTCATTAACTCTTTATTTTCAGACGAGTTCAATGACTCTTTAAAATAACGACTACTTTTGCTTGGCTAGTACCAATGAATATTTTCGGCCTGTCCTAAATTTACCAAATTGCAGTATCAAATATTTTAACCCATTTTGGCAATTTAAACTAATTTTTGAATTTTTCATCGTTAGATTTTTTAAGTCATTGATTTGTTTTGTAATACACAGTGTCTTCACTTATTAGTTTTAAATAGGTTTCCTTTTGTACAATTTACCATCTCAGCTGCGTAAGCCCAAAGAAAGTAACAAAACAGTTACGTATGAACAAATTTCAGGGAACGGACTGTCGACGACGGACGGCGGACGACTTCTAGTAGTTGAGATTTCTCTGTTTTCTTTCACTTGCGCTAGGTATTTCATTTTAACCTTTCAACTCCTTGAAATTATGAACATGTAACTTCTCCCCGTAAAATCCATACATTATCCAGCAAAGAGGAAATAAGAATACTCAAACTTATCAGGTTGAAGTTGATATCTCGACCTGACACCAAATTGTCGTTACTAATACAATACAATACAATATTTATTTGCCATATACGACATTTACAGATGGAAAAAAAAAATTAAGAAAATTGATGACAGAGAATAAATGGCGAGAAAACCTGAAAGAAACCACGAGGCTTATAACAAGTTAAGCTTTCTCACTTAAAATAACTAATCTTATATTAGAATTACAATATGGACTTATGGTAATTAACTTTGAGTACAGATTACTAATTACAGAGACGAGAATTAATTATCAGAACTTAGGAGTTAAAGGGTTAATTTATGCGCCTTTTGGTTAATATTTTTGAAAAAGCATTATCTGGTGAATTATTCCATACCAAAGCGAGCCTCTCATTTCCAATGGTGCTTGAAAATCATTGTTTTTCGCCAATTGTTACACCATTTCCTCTCGTTTCTGTAGAAAGGGTGACTTCTCTCAGTCAACTTATTCAAATCATTTGGAAATAGAGGATCGCCTTCTTTCTGTTTAAAAATAGGGAGCTTTTTTTATGACTCGACCATCACCAGCACTGAAGCTCTCTTTCTATACCCACAATTGGCAACAAGAAAGGAAATAGAAAGTTACAGAGCAGTATACTCGCGAGGTTTAAAGAGGGTTTCACTATTTTCCTAGCATCTACAATTTAATGAATCAATACCACTATAATTTTGCAATTTGGAAGTCAGTAGCGGCACAAATTCTTCACCAGAATCACGCTTTTTAGGTCATTTCTTCGACGCAAGTTACTATAGCAACAACAAAGTCTTCAAGAAACACCCTTAATGTTACCAGTAGGCGCCTGAACATGGAAAAATAGCGGTAATCCCGCTTTTTATTTATTCTTTTTTTTTTCTTTCTCAAGTTGTACGATAATTTCCAATCAGCATATTAAGACTAGTTTTATGTAAAGTTTTCAAAAAAAAAAATTTTATAGTGGGAGCAACAGATTATAAACTGTTGCGTGAGATCAATTTTTCGTTATTCTGAGGAAACTACAAACCTTCCCAGGTAATTCAAGTGAAACTGCGGCTAAGTGTATGATAATAATTATAAAAAACGTAGACAAATTTTAAAATACATTAAAAGAGAAAGCTCGCAAAAAGTTTGCACTCTCTCCAATCCAGAATGTCATTATTTCATTTTACATCACAGTCATTTCATTGGATCTCTTTTGAAGGTAGAGCGCATGAAATAAATATCATTCCGTTTTCAGTTTTGGCCTTCTTGACAATGTGCCCAAAAAGAAATGTTTAGATGAAAGATCTAGCAAACTTAGGATTGTTTAGGACTCGGTTTTGTTAAACAGCGGCTAAACTATGTTTAAATAACCGGCCCATTGGCCTCTGCTCTCTTTGCCGTTTATTTGTCCACGTATACCGCCCTATTGACTTGCTAGATTCTCATCGTCTGGTCGCAGACAATCTGATAGGCTCATCTCTGAATGATTCCCTTCGATAAACCAACACTTGCGTCTTTGTGGGAACACAAACACGTTGAAAGGTCACAGTCATTGATAAATAAGAGCTATTGTATTTCAACCAAATTTTTCTCTGGGCCGACGTTGTTAGAGAAAATCTTTTCGTCTTTGTAACATTTTTGGTTCGTCCTGGTCGCAAAACTGGTCGCAAAAAAAAAACCCAATAATTTCGTAGCCATTGGATTTCAACCAAGTTTTCACTGGACCGACGTAGTTAGGGGGAAATCTTTTCGTCTTTGTAATATTTTTGGTTCGTCCTAGTCGCAAAACTGGTCACAAAGGACAATAATTTCGTAGATCAGAAACATTTGTGATATTTTGGTCCACTTCGCTGTGGGAAATAACTTTACTCGCTGAAAACGTGTACGTAATAAGGTTACAAAACTTGATATCAGCACTCTCCGTTTCAAATAACTGTTTTGATAACACAGTGTGTCGAAGGGAATCGCCAATAAAGTAAAAAAAAAAGGTTCATTCGTAAAAAAGTATTATTTCCATATTAGAAGGCAAAAGCCGTTGTAAGTCATCTTCATTTTCATTGAAATAATTTCCTCTCGGTAAAATTTCACTTACAGGGGTTGGCGGTAATTTGCTTTTATTTTCTTGCATAGATTAACTTTGGCGGTTTCGTCAGAGATTTCCAAAGACGTGAAAACATCAAGAGCCTTTGTCATAAAACTATCAAGATTTGTTATCCTTCAGTTGCCTTTTTAATGGCTTCATCGATTACAAGATCGTATGGGCATCTTATATAAATAAAGCACTCCGGTTTTGGTCTTAGTGGGGCAGTTCGGAACATCTGCAGCCTTTGGAGAGAGCCTTTTAATTAGGTCAAATATTCCTGTCAAAGCATCTTTGACAGACCACTAGGAAACATGACCGCACTACTGCTGTTTACATTACAGGGCAATTTTAAAATTAATAACAATTTTTCCTTTGAGGGAGCTAAACCTGAAAATATTTCACAACCGGCAAAATTAGGCTTTTCGCCGTGGTAACCGCCTGTATTTCAACTGAAAAGAGACCTTAGTGACAATTGAGTGAGTTTAATCTTGTTTAACGGTGGTGAATTTTATACCTTCGCTCATTAAGCTCTTTACCTGCCAAACTTTGCATAAATTTTTAACAACTTTGTTCTAGCAATCGACGGTAATAGCGAAAAGCTGGACATGCGTGGTGCGCTTACTGCCAGGTGGAAAATGATTAGACTTTGTGTTCTTCGCTGCACGTGCCAGTAAAAGAATTATAATGGAAATTCCACTGGTTTTAAATTGTCTTCGATTCTTTTGTATTAACAAAGCTCTCTCGTTCCTTCGCCTGCGTCTTTGTCAGCGCAATTTTTAAAGGAAGCCTTCAGAAGGAAAAATAATTAATCTTGAAAAGATCTCATTAAATCTTATGCAATCAGTCGCGATGAATAGATTCCAAGCTCTTTGGCTTTGTGGTTTATAACCCTTGATGCAACTTCTCGCACACAACGCTTCATGCCAGGGAACGGTGTGATTTCGAGCTTTCAATTCCACGCTTATCTTTGAGTGCAATAACGCACGATCCGTTGCTACATTCAATAAAGAAACGGCGTAAACTATTGATGAGTAATCTTATTAGCATGTAAACAGATATACAGTTTGTCGCTATCATGTCTATTTCCACACACGGCAATCGCTACCTCTCTTGTATGGGCAAACGACTACTTCTTCCTCTCTAAGAGCGGCCAATGGGAAGCGTCGAAATGTCGCAATAATCACCCAGTGACCAATCAGGCTGCAGCTAGACGCCCGCACCTGTTCGTTTTCATTCCCGTGGATAAATTTCACTTAACTTGTCCGTTTGCCTGGAGAAATCGCTTAAACACCTCAGCTGCTTGCCTAGTAAATTAAAAGCAAGGTGTTGTCTCTTAAACACAACCAAAGGATCGTTTATGGAACATTCTTCACTTCAGCTCTCCTTGGAAACACAACAGACAATGCAAGGTATGCGAAGATGTAACAATTTCAGTGACTCTTTTTAACTTGCCTTTTCACGCCGGTATTTAGCACGTGAAGTCAATGAACGGTCTCAAAAATATTTTTTACGTTGAATTTCCTCTTTCTGTGATGCACCGCAAATAATTAAGCTAATTTCCTTTTAACTAGATGGGAAGCAACGTGTGGAGAAATGTATCTAGTTTTGAAAAGATGAACTTTAAGGCGTGTTGCATGCTGGCATCACATTCTTGTTTTGATTCTCGCCCGCTCGAAATATCGACGCAAAGTGTGAGAAGAGTGTTGTTTAAAAAAAACAAGGCTCGCATTTAGGGCCAACGAAGCTCATTTGAGGCTATTAAAAGAAATCGCAAAAAGGCTGCAAAATTTTCTGACTTCTTTTGTTGTCAGGGATGCGCGATTTGTTCGCGATTACGACGCGGTTTTTCATTCGCACTGATTTCGCATGGCCACTAGTTGATCGAATGAAGTCGCAAGCACTTCTTAGAGAGCAATAAGCCAGATTTGTCCTCATCAACATCTTACCTTTCATCTACGGAGCCTTTCTGCAGAAACAAAGCGCGGTTTCCAGGAAGGTGATTGGCTCACTTCGGCTCTTGTTGAGAAATTTTTTCCAAATTAGCGCTGGTTAGCTACTGAATAAAGCTACTGAATTCGTTCTCTTTCAGCCTTAGATCGCAAGCCCATCATCCTGTGCCGGGTCTGCGGCGACAGATCTTCTGGAAAACACTACGGGGTTTTCACCTGCGACGGATGCCGAGGTTTTTTCAAGAGAAGTATCCGTCGTAATTTAACATATCAGTGCAAGGAAAGAGGCAACTGTACTGTGGATGTAACGCGACGAAATCAATGCCAGGCTTGCAGGTTAAAGAAGTGCTTTGAAGTTAAGATGAACAAAGACGGTAAGCGAACAAAGTTCAACACTATTTCTTGACTTATAACGGTTCTTGACCGTCTTGTAAAATTTGGCCATCGATTCTGCAAACGCCGGAAATTCGACTAAGCTGTTTTGGGTTTGCGTGTCTTGGTAAAATCGCTGAGGCGTGCAAGCACGATGCAGAAGTTTTTATTTGGACGCAAAACGGAGCGTACAAACTGCGAAGGTTTAAAATCTATTTAAAGTTCTCTAAATGAAGCATAATCGAGAACTAATGATCTCTCTTTGTATCCGAAAATTTAATTTGAATTATTTTGAGGAATTTAACCGGACTTCTAACAACGAATGGCGATCAGTGCTCGGCAAATCTCACCCGCGTTTAAATTAATTGTTTACTGAGAAGAAAACCGTTTAATTATTTCTCGTTTTATCTACTTCTCCGTGGAAATGCAGTTAAGAAAATTAATTTACTGCGAAAGAAAAAGATAAACTTGGAAATATATTTTCACGCCCAAACGCATCAGCTGGACATCACGGATAAATTTATCAATTTCATCACAAGGCTTGTAATTGTGTTCTTTATTACCTTAGGGAACTCATTTAGCGCCCAGGCGCTGATATCATAAGGTAGAAAAAAATATGGATGGATCAAACAAACGAAGTTACAAAATGTTGAGTCTACTTAATAATTCTACGATCGAGTTTAGAAGAAATAAATCGTTCTCCGCTCAGCTCGAGAACGAAGTTCCGATCATTGCGCCAAAGGAAACATCTGCATTTCAACAGTTCAAACTATAGAGAGCGGGTCTCATTTATTATTAATGAAATCTTAATTGCAGATCTTTCCCTTTTTCCCTTTAGAACTATACTCGCTAATGAAAATGTATCGAATTACGTTTGAGTTCTGCTCTCTTTTTTCAAGTCCTTTGGCATGGCACTATTTTGAGCCGGAGTTCACTTTGGAATTCCTTGCTTTATAACTGATGCCTGCGGCCGATAGGCAGGTATCAAAACATTTATAGGCTGCGGTTTTCGGCGACCTAAGGGGTGTTTTTGGTTTAGAATCGGTCGGTGTTTAATAATTCACAAAGGCCTCGTTTGACTCAACATTCAGGCGTGATCAAGTCGTGCGGGCGTCAACCCAAAAGCTGGAAGAAAACAAAAGTTATGCTAACAACTGCAGGTCTTAGTGGGCGTATTCAAACCGGGAATTGCACTCTGAGACGCATATCATTAGTGCGAATCGTGCACGACTTTGTCGTTTCTTTGGCATCATAAAATAACGGAACTCTGCCAAATTAAAGATGTTGTCCATAGGTGCGACAGATTGCTAATCTGCCAGCCTGTTCATTGTGTATCTTCAAGACCCGTTGCTTAGGCTTTCAGAAAATTTATTTGGCAACTCTTCAATTTCAAAAACAAGCCATTATCTATATCTGCTAAAACGATCAATGGTGTCTCCAAAAGACGGCGCAATATTAGTTTTCATCTAAGGGTCATGGCAACCGAGTGTAATTTTCCCAAATTAGCAATTCCCCCCCCCCTCGATCGTTGATTTACATCTGAAAAGACATGGTTTCAATTTTAGAAATGTTCTACTAATCCTGGTAATGTCTGTGAAATTGTGGAAAAAAATACCTCTAAACCGATCAAAAAAAAAAAAAGAGGAGTGGGGTAAATATTCTGACTTTTATAAAGTGTGCTCGATATAGATCGAGTGTCAACCAACGTCAAGCTGTTGTCGGCATAGAAAACACCTTCTAAACTTCCTGTTTTCAGAGCATCAAAATTTTTCAGTCTTTTATCTTTCCTTTTCTCAAACGCCCTGAGTTATTGTTTTTATGACAAATCTCTGTCTAGCAGTCCTGATTAAAGACCAAATGAGAGACACCTCGATTTTGCTAAGCTTGACTTTGGAACTTGTTGTTGTTTTTTTTTTTTTGGATAATTTTTGCTAATACAACCTTAACAATTTTAATGATAGCTCTCATCCAATTATGACATAATCCGTTTTCTGAAGACAACTTTATTTTGCATTGAAAAACTGGCGTAATTTTCGTTTGTGCAGGCTAAGTCTGTCAATTAAACTTCAACTTTTAGGATTCAATGCCAATAGAGGGATTTAAACGCAAATTTTGCTCACGTACGTATTTGCCAAAGAATGACTTAACCTTTTCTTTTTTTCCCGAATCTGTTGCGAGACTTTAGTGGGTGCTGTATTGCTATCCAAAAAAAAAAAACGCTCTCCTTTCATAATTTCCAGCTCGCGGGGTTTTGTATTAAGACTCGTGTTGCTCTCTCTAAGTTTTATTTTCCATGGATACGAATTAAATTAATAATTACAAAGAGAATATAAACTGTCTATATTCTCTTGCAATTACCAATCTACAGCGCATACCTCACGGTATCTAAGTTACGACATATAGAATAAAGTTTGATAATTTCAGGGAGCGATGCGATGCGGTTTTTAGTTGGTGGCTGTAAAAATAATTTGAAAAATGATAACGACGTTAATATTGCGGTAAACATGTGAAATTCTTTTTGCCTAGGGATAGAGAAGTTTTACAGCGGAGTAAAGCAACGTAGTGACTGATTTCATTCTAAGACATTTTTAGTGAAGTTACTTATTTTCAAATGAAAATGCAACACGTTAATTTTTAGAGGAAAGGAGGCAAAAATTTCGCCCATGGATGAAACCGCTGATGCAGTACTGTAAGACAAACTGTTGGGAAGAAATACGCTCGGACCAAATTGGCGAACAAAGTTAATTTTATGATGTTATGATCAATTTCGCAGACGGGAACAAATTGAACAGACCTTAGTGCCGCGAAACTTCAAGCAGACTTTTAAGAATCTCTTCAAAGAGACAATCCCTATCTGTTTCTCGATCAAGTTAAATGAAATCGTTCTTGAAAAATATATATATTTTTGTCCAGTTCTGAACTTTGAATAACCGATACCGAGTTTGACCATTAACATGTAAACATTGGATAAAATTTCTGAGTTTGAAATTTTTTTTCTTGTTTCTTTCTTTCTGCAGCCGTCCAACACGAGCGAGCCCCACGCTCCTCGCAGGTTGTCCCAGTTGTCCCCACGTGCTCAGTGCTCAGTGGTTCGTATGAACAACCTCCTGCACACGCTATCCCAGAACAGCTATATTCTTATTCCAAAAGCAACCCGGGTGACAGATCACAGCGCCGGGGCAGCCCTGAGCGAGAACTGGACTCGAACAGATCGAGCGACATATCACGCTTCTCGCCCCCAGTCCCTCAGTACCACGGCCAGAATAACAACCAGTCACCAGACTCCTCCAAGAAGCGCAACTTTCTTTCCATAGCAAGTCTGATCGACACAAAAGACAACTCTGCGCAGCCTTCACCAAGTACCACTGACACTAGCCCTAAACACGAGAGTGAAGACCCCAGAGGAAGGTCACCACTTGTGTACCAGCCCTCCCCAGAGTCTGTATACGAGTCGGCTGTGCAGTTATTGTACATGTCAGTCACTTGGGCAAGAAACATACCAACATTTTTGGATCTTCCTTTCCGTGATCAAGCAATCTTGCTGGAGGAAGGATGGAGTGAGCTTTTCGTTCTGAGTGCCGCCCAGTTCTCTTTACCAGTAGATATGGGGCCACTTCTGTCTGCAGCTGGTCTACAGGTAGATAAAGCTCCCACAGATAAAATCGTGGCGGGAATGGCAGACATCCGTCTGTTACAAAATGTGGTGGCGAGATTCAAGCGGGTGGAGATTGACTCTACTGAGTATGCGTGTTTGAAAGCCATTGTTCTATTCAAGCCAGGTAAGAGGGAATTTTCAGCTTGAGAATGTAGTTGAAAATAGGAATTAAAGAAAAGTTGGTGGTTAGTGTCTTGTTTTCCCTCCCACTCCTTCTTTTGTTGTCGAGGGATTTTTTTTCCATTTTGATTTCTGTAAACGTGCGAATTTTTCGCTCATTGCTGCACAAACCTGTTTCTGTCAAGTCGCTGTATTTCTCGGATATTTTTGTGCTGTTATGGACGCTTTGATATTATTACTTTCTTCACCTGGCGTCGATTTAGCTAACAGACCATGTGTTATAGAATTAGATTATGAGCCCGTGATTTCTATCGGATTATGGTTGATGAAGTCGAAGACAAAACCAGCAATCGCACATAGAAATAGAGATTGAACAATCAAATGGTTTTAGTATAAATCTAGCTACTGTTAAATAAAAAACTTAACAATCTGTAAACAAGACAAGTTGATCTTTTTCTTTTGTTCTGTTTCCAACCGCACACTGTTAAGTTATTCACTGTTTACCACGGAAAAAAATGGTGGCTGACCAGTGAAATTGCGGCATTTTGGTAGAACGCTGGTAGATTTATAATAAAAAGCGATTAACTACCTTGCTCTGTGTAAATTTTTCATTGTAGACCTTCGTGGTCTCCGAGCGCCTCACATGGTTGAAAGACTTCAAGATCAAGCACAAGCCATGCTGGGAGAACATTGCCGCAGCCAAAATCCTGACCAGCAAGTGAGATTCGGAAAGCTGTTGTTGATGCTACCATCATTACGATCAGTCAGTCCCAAGATGATAGAAGACTTGTTCTTCCGCGGAGCTCTTGATAACGTACCCATCGAGAGAATGCTGTGTGATATGTTTAAATCTAGCTAAGCTGAATGGTATGCTTTCGTGCAAAATACAGTGCTTCTCGGTTTTCGTTATAAAGAGGTACATGTTATTCGTAAGAAATGTTGAATAATAATTAACTCAGTAGGCCTAGATGATATCAGCTATCAATTTCAAACGAGCGCGAGCTCCAAAAAAGCACTCGCGTAGCGTGGACACCCTGTGCCGGGCGCGGGATACGAGTGGGGCCTTTGCGCTAAGCGCGGGAAGCAAGGGGGCTAACTGTGCTAAGCGCAGGAAATAGTTGACGTCAATTCCAAATTAGTTGAAATCGATTCAGTTGAAATATAATTTAATTTTAGGCCTCACGTTTGGTAATATTGCAAAGAATCAAGTTAAAAATTAAAATAAGTTGAAAATAACTGTAGTATGTGCACATGTAGATAGTTACTTTATTTGTAGTTTTCTGCATGTTTCGGTACATGTGTTGTTTTTTATGGGATGGAAAAAAGGTAAGCATTGGTGTTTTTCCTTTGTCATTTTCTACCAACTTTTCAGCTTTGATATCTCTATTTGAAGGCTTTTAAAGCGACGTTTTTTGGAATAGTCCATGGTGTAAAAAATTTTTTTGTCTTGAGTTCAAGTTTTATTTCGTAAACATTAGCTTAAAAGATTCATTGCCGAGATAGCTCGCAAGCATTCAGTAGATTTAAAGCTCTGCGAATGCGAACAAATGCAAATTATCTCTTTACTGTTCAGCTGAATTGTGGGGATTTCCGACAAGAAATGAGTTTTATAATGTTCCTATCTAACGATATTCTGGATGAATTCCTTTGAAATGAAAAGGATAAACTAAAAGGAGAGTTTGTTAAGATAAACGAAAACCAGAGTAATAAAAGTATAAACAAATATGAAGAGTCACTTCGACTGAGAGCAGAACTTCGTAAACATTTTGATAGGAAATGTTCACTTTGTATCTGAAAATTTTTTTTTTAAACGTTTGGTTACGAAGTATTTATAGAATAGCGAAAATATTTAGTAAACTTATGTATATAATGTAAAAATTTGTAGCATACAGTATTTCAAAACATTTAAGTGGATGTATCAATTTTTTTTTTCAACTTGTCTAATTCTAAGTAATACATTCTATTATTTCCGCCTGATCAAATGGAGCGGGTTTGTAATAGGTGTAGTGAGGCTGCGCGGTAAAGACTTCAGTCGAGTTTTTAAATATATATTCATAAGCATTTTTACTGCAAATGGTTGCTATGCCTAATGAGAACCTGCATTTGTAGCTCTGAGCCTCCGTTTCCTTAGATAAAGACAAGGGAAAAAGTAAAAGTCTTTTATTGCCTTTTAAGGGTCCTTCAAAGAATGACCCGACTAAGGAAGAAGAGTGTCACAAGGCCTGAAAGCAACCTCGTACTCAGGCTCCTTCCGAAAAAATGGAGGTCCATAGCAACGAGGTTGTGCTAAGACATTGAGCCAAAATTTAAAACGACACTTTTGATTTTATTTAATCTTCTTTATTCTCAGTTTTACTTGTTCCATCTTAGTCCTTTATTCCCGTTTGTGATTTCCTGTCTCACCCATAATATTTTAATCTCGTCTTGAAGTTTAGGGAAGCTATACATAGGGCTAAAAATAACTTGAAATATCAACACTTGGCCTCTTTAACTTCCATGATTAAATGTATCAATTAGCTTTAAATAGCATGCTACAAATTACGCCTTAGACAAGTTTTATCTGGCAAGGAAACACCAAACCTGGCCCATTTTTATTAGATATTTAAATAATCGAAAACCCGACGAAGTCTGCCGTTCGTAAAACGCAGTCAGCTCGCTTTTGTTTTTTTGTTTGTTTTTTTTTACATATTTGTAAGTTTTTAGTTAGTCTGGTTAAGTTTATCTTTTTTCAATTCTTACTAAATTTTATTACAAGTATATTGCATTTCAGCGACTATTTTACGCAACAGCTTTAAACTGCTTTTAATAACAATTGATAAAAAAATCTTGTGCTTGTACAAAGGGATTTTTCTTAATGTAAATAATAGATATTTGCAGGAAATAAGCACGACATAAACGCTTGTGATAATATTTATTGCTGAAATAAAAATCATCATATCTTGCAACGTAGTTTGTTATGAATGCTATTAAATCGGTGGCGATCGATGTTCTTATAGTTCAAAAAGCCCATTCCGTTTCATTGCCGTGAGCTAAATGTACCTTACGTTACATCTTCTGAATCATGGTCTACCGGCGGTATTCGTGATAAATATCTAAAAGTTTTGCTCCATTGCAAGATTCTCCTCTTCAAATTTTCCCCTATCTTTAAAGAAGATGAAAACGAAGTGTCCATGTTACCAAATCCTACTTGAAATGAGCTTAACTTAGAGCAGTCAGACTAGCTGAAAAAAAAACGAAACAAAACAGAAGTAAACAAAAAAACCCAAACAAAACAAAACAGCAACAAAAACGAAACAAAAATATGTTTGAGTGATTTTTTTTATTTAGCCGTAAAGTTGGCTTGTAACTTTGCAAAAATCATTTGAATTCACAATAATCCTCGGTAAAGACCGAGCGAGAGCTCTTTGCATTAGGACGAAGGGTAAAATCTGGTCGTCTTAAATCTACCCTACGGTCTCAGATGGTGGGAAATAAAACTAAAACCATCGCAAAATGACAGAAAATTGCGCACTATCTCCCCTATCGATAGACCCAAGTTTCGAGTTAATGCCGGCGGAATTTATTGGCCGTGAGAGCCTGAATTGAGTCCTGTCACCGGGGGTGTCAAAATGGCGGTCGGCCGATCAAGGTTATCGTTCTTAGCTTATTTTTTACTAGTTTCATTTTCCACCATCGTAGAAGCACAAAATGAGGACAGCGATTTAGTCAAAGAGAAGGAAGCTGCCGAGAAAGAGAAGAAATACAGTGAGATCGACACGGCATTCCTGCTTGTCATGATGTTTTTGTTGATTATCACCGTGTTAACTGTATGGTTGTTTAAAGTAAAGCGTTTCCGCTTTCTGCACGAGACGGGAGTTTGTATGATATACGGTGAGTTTCCTATTATAAGTTTGTTCAGTTGATGAACTGGTTGGCATTGCAAAGTATTTGAACAGAGATGCTGGCGATGTGTGAGCTCTTGACAGAAGTGAAACCTTCGTCACCTGCACCGATTGATCAAGTCCGCTCACAACTGACCACCTGACGTTTCAGATATCCGGCATATTGCCAAAACTTGCCTTCGAAACTGATAAATTTGTCTTCGTAGCTTGCATGCATTTCAATGAATGTTCAACATCCGTGGTAAGCTTGCGTCCCAAATTCTGCACTGAGTTGTCACCACCAATCACCAAAAGCGCAGAAGACTTTACGAGGTGAAAAGATCGCATACAAACAAACACAAAACAACAACAGCAAAAAAAATAGAGTTCATTTTTCAAATTTAGTGGTTAAAAATATACCAAGAAATGCAAATGTTTGGAGTAATTTTCAGAAAAAAATATTTTCCTGATAGATTTATTAATATAAATAATAAAAATGCCATAGAAACAATACTTTTGAGAATTTACCTGTTTAGGTCTGCTGTGTGCCGTTAAGCTTCCTAAGAATATATACCCAGACAAATTTTTCTTTTGATGTTTTTTTTTTCTCGTTTGGACTAAGTCACACAGGATCTAGTTCTGAGAATAGTCTGAATGCATTTAGACTTACTTGGATTTCACAAATATTCCAATGAGAAGAAAAGAATCATTTGTTCAAATGATTCATATTTACAGTGCTTTTGTACATTATGTCATTCAATTGGAATAGAAGGGCAACTAAAATTTATACACATCTTAACCCTTTCACTCCCAAGATATCTTTATTTATTCTCCTGTCTACCATCATTCTCACCATGTTTGTTTAGAGAATTTGGTATTGGATCAACTAATCATACCTTCATTGATATTTTTCTTTATTCTCATCACTTGTCTGTTTGATATTGTATTAATGTTATGGGGAGAAGTTCTGTCTTGGTCACTCATGGGAGTTAGAGGGTTAAGCCCTATTCAAATGGTCATGATAATTGATGATAGCTGATGATAGTTTCAACTTTCATTCACTTTGCATTCAAACAGTCCCTAATGTGTGACGATAGTTGAGAAAATCATGCCATGATGAGATCGTGTAATTGTAAACAAATATGGGGCATGCTGATATCAGTAATTTTGATGGTATTTAAAATTTTAGTTAAGAAGTTGCAATTTGAAGATACATGCACTGAAGCCTTCCAGGAGAAGATGAGATTGAACCATGAGACATTCTGCAAAATTTTTACCACTACTTTTGTCATTTTAGCATTTGCCATTTAACCAAAAAACTTTCATTCACTATCATCAAGAATCATGTTGAATATGAACTTATCCAAATTGCATGATACTCAATGATAGTTGATGATAGTGCTTGATAGTTTGTGTTCAAACACATGTGACCATTGAAACTATCATCAACTGTTTGTATGGGGCTTAATAATTAACAATAACAATTATTGTTACCATGGATTCCTTAAAGATGATTCTTAGATTATGATTATGTGGTGCAAATCAATATCTATGCCAAGTTGAAAATAAGAGGGGGTCAGGGATGCAATCTGACCTAGACCTGACCTTCCTTTTTTGACCAAACCAAAATCCCTTGCTTTTTCCACTGTGCCACCACTAATTACTAATAACTTCACACCTATGCTCTGTTTTACTAACTGAATGCCTGGAAAAGGCTATGTTCCAAAGTTTGTTTTTACCATTTCTGGAACAAAAATAGTTGGCAAAGAGATTGCAATGTTTTGGAATAACAAGCCAAATCTTTCTCAAATATGATAATTTGGTTTTATCACCTGAGTTGATGATATGAATTGACCACTGTAAAGAGTTTCTGAAGGTGGCATTCAAGTATCAGCCATCTGTTAGAGCATCATTTTTATTTTTCAGTCATCCTGACAAAGGGCCAGTGCTCTAAACATCAGATTTAGAAACTTCTGTTGTGGTCAATTTAGATTATTAACTTAGTTTAATAAAACCAAATTATCTTGTCATAATTCCAATTATAAAATGTTCAGAGAAATGCGTGTGCTGTAATTGGTCAGAACAAGCATGCGCCTTACTTCACATGAGTGCACTTTTTAGATATAATGCATGCAGCCTATGTCATTGGTATGAGCTCGTGCAATTCACTGCACTTCTCTCATGTTCTTAAAAATTCCTGTGTGCTTATATAACTCAACAATGCACTTGGTGCATTTTTTATTTCTTTATCAATGCAGCACTACAACTACTGAAACTTCCCTCCATTATTCTTTTCCCAAAGACCCAAACTTTCATCCCCTGCCCCTCCTATACAATATTGCACTTTATTTTCATTGATCACAAAACAGTGAGTTAAGGGAAGCAGGGGGGGTGGGGTGGTTGTATAGTCATTTCAAATTTCACTTTTTAATTCTTCCTTTAAATTTGCAAGGTTCATGATGTGTTGACCACAGTTGGCATGGATTGGTTGATGGGTAAATTGTGCTAAGTTTTTGTTTTTTTCCCAGGTATGATAATTGGTCTTCTCATAAAATATTTAAGTAGAAATAAGAGAGTGGAAGTTACTTACCCAAACTGTACCATAAGTACTGCAAGAAAGAAGCTGTATATTAGCACTTCAAATGGTTCACAGTATTCATATACATTGTCTGGAGCAGTGCAGAATTCTGGTCAAGAAAGTGAACTGGAGCAGATGGTAGGTACAATGAAGAATATTTACATGCTGATGATAAGCTAATACAAGGTTTCCTACACACATTTTTATGTTTTTAAAGTGATTCAGTTCAAAAAGTAATATGTTTGCAATCTAATTAGTATTTTTTAAAAGCAATGGTGCATGAAGGTCTGTCCCAGGACAGAAAACAGGAAAACAACCTCAAAAGTTTTGAAACCTTGTAGCTAAACTTGGTAGAATGAAACTGCAGGTCATGTTATGTATGCGCATGCATACATAAGGATTTTTGCCATCATGGTAGCTCCTCAAGAATTAGGTTAGACTTGCGCATGTGCTATGTTGTAATACTGTGTTGGGCTCACCTTGAATCAAGCAAGTCTTTTCATCAAGCTAACAACAGTTTGATGCAAATCAAACTAGTTAGCTGCAAGTGTTTTATATTAAAAAAAATTTATACATGTTGTGCTCCCACGACGAACAGAGAGTACAGGTGAGAAAAATAAGTCAGGGTAAAGGAACAATGTATTAACCCTTTTCACCCAAACATCAGTATAAATATTCTCCATACTATTCTCTGTACACTTCCTAATGCGCTGACAAGGAGAATTATGTTAACAATCAAGAGCTTCTTTGGTTGGTGATCATTTCCTTTATTCTCATGACCTTAATGTTGGATTCAGGGGTAAAATTGTAAGAAGAAATTAAATACTAATCACTTTAAGAGGTCAAAGGGTTAGATAACTGTTTTTAGAGTACAAAGCATAACATGCCAGGCAGTAAAGATCTCAGAATTTTTGCTTAATATATAAATGATCATTTAGTATCAGTAAAAAGTACTTTGTTGATCAGAAATGAGAGTTGAAAGCCTTTTGAGATGAACAGTTTACATTTTTCAACTTTTTTTCCTGCAGGCTGTTTTTGATCCTGAAATATTTTTCTATGTTCTACTGCCACCAATTATTTTCTATGCTGGATATGACATGAAAAAGGTGATAACCAAGTAAACTTTTGTTATAATCTAAATGTGTACTTCACATATTTCCTTTTACATGAATATAATTAAAAAATAGTATGAGAGCACACTGACATCTCACTTAAGAAAAATAATTCAGAGCAAACAGAACAAGCCCCATGACCTTCTTCTTGCTTGTAACACATCAAGTACTTTGAACCTTAGAAACAAATGGAGGTTTAGGCCCATGGTCAAGACGAAAAACTGTTTCAATAGTTTTATCACGTTAATGCCCTTAAATCTAAACTATTTTACTTAAATTTTATATTTATTTTACATGTTTTGTTTACAAACCTAACGGAAATACAACAAATTTTTCCCCACTAAACTTGCTGTAAACTACTAGTAGTATATTACCTTTGGTAATAATCGTATTATTCAATTTGTTAGTTTCAGAGAAATTATATGTAAACTTTTTATTTATTCATCTCTCACACCTTCTTGTATAGAATTAGTACTATATAGATTTATTTATTATTTTTAATCTATAATACACTTTCAGCGCTTTTTCTTCCGGAACATTGGTGCCATCCTTACATACGCATTTGTTGGAACAACTGTCTCGTGCATGGTGTTTGGGTGAGTAGATTTGGTACCTACTGTACATAGTGCTGTGCAACTCAAAGATGAGGGGGTATTGAAGACTAGTATGGTACCATTCCCTCATCTGATGTGCATGTGTTTGCATGCAGACTGTTATTAAAACATGCTACGATGAAGTGTATGACTGTGCTATTGTTGCTCATTGTCATGTAACTTTGCCTTGTGTGCCATGGTGTCCAATTGTGTCCCACACCTAAAGTGATGGTAATGTGAAAGGGCCAGTCCGCAAGCATGAAATTCATGAAATAATTATGAAAATTGTTATACACAAATTGTTGAATAAATGAGTGGGTTAATTTGGAATCTCTTATACTTTTCTTTAAAGTTATGAAAGGAACGGCTTATGAATATTAAGCACTTGCTGGAACAGCACAACTCTAACTCTTTGTTTGATGTCATCATGGTATTAAACAGGAATAGTGGCTGATGAGGAAACATACATTCACATACATTTACATGTAAATTAAGCATGTAAAAGTTACAGATATGATGATGGCTAAGAATTCTTTTCCTAAACTGCATGGCTGATTAGCATTTTTGGACTTATGATTTCGTATTGATACTATTATAATAATACTTAATATGCTTTTGTTGTTTGTTTTTCTAATAATATGATGATGCTTCTGATACGCTTATAGTACTAATGATATTTACCCTTGAAAACAGTCATCTCTCAATTCAGAAGGAAAAGTATGATTGTTGGAAAGGAAAATAATAAATTAAATTGTGTGCATTTTGATTAAGTGATGTGAAATTAAAACAATGTTATTGCAACAGCCAATCATAGGGAAGGAATATATCACAAAAAGCCAATGAGAATGTTAAGGAAAGACAAGTTGCAATTTGTTTAAAAATTGAGTTTGATTGGCTGAGAGGTTGGTACAACCTTTTTATGTCAATCACTGAGTAAAGTAAAGCAAATCCAAAGAAATCCTGGATAAATAAAGAAACTTGCTTTTAAAGTTTAAGAAATTATTTTAATATACTTTTACAATACTTCCTTACAATACTTCTTGCCAGCTGTTGTGTAATGAATTTGTACTGTCTGTTAAACAGGGGGACAATGTATGCCTACACAAAGTTCGATTCTCGTCATGTACCCAAAGAATTTGGTTTCCTGGAATGCCTCTTATTTGGAGCTCTGATATCAGCCACAGATCCAGGTTTGTTGGTTTGAATTACTCAGAGACAAACTGGCTGGTCAAGGCAACACCAACCTAATGAGCAAGGAGCAAAATTTTCACTTGTATTACAGTGCACCAGTAAATAACATTAAAAATTTAACTATTATTTCATATTCATAGTATTTTAGCTTTTAGTTTGCAAAATGCTCCTACACCCTTATCTGGGCATCTCATTGTTTGCATAAGGCATATGTGAAAGAGGAAAGCAACACAAAGGAAACCATCTAAGTGTTCTTTGTGACCATGAACAAAATCTGATAGACTTAAAAGCTTGTTTCTTACAAAGTTAAGCCTAAAAGGCCAAAAAAAAATTCAAAGTTTGAATCAAGCAGCCAGCCATTTTTTTGCACCTGTTTTAGTAAGTGTAATACTGTAGCATAGCTTGTGTGTTTGGATGCCCTTATATGGTAAATTATCGTAGTTCCACCAAACAGTTCTGGTGTAGATGGTTTTCTGAGTTTCACAGTAAGTACACTGTGTCCTATTTTCATAAAATGTTAACTGCTTAATCCCTAGCCTGCTGAATATTCCATGTCAATTTATCTTTCTATGCGATGATAGAATTCATTTGATCAAAATGTTCACTGCATGAATTTATTACTGTTTATTTGCTCTTAACTCCCAATAACCTGAATTTTCAGTTTCTCTTTAAGTTTCAAATTATTGGGAGGCAACTCTACTCCATCACTAGTTGTGAAAAGTTGCTCTTTTCCATTACCCCTCTCAGAGTTTATTCTCTTGTTTGCACCTTTTGTACAGTAGATCCATCATAAACTCAAACATAATATTACTGTGATTTTTTTTTCAGTTACAGTGCTGGCCATTTTTCATGACCTGCATGTGGATGTGGATCTGTATGCTTTGGTATTTGGTGAAAGTGTCATGAATGATGCTGTGGCAATTGTTCTCTTCAGGTAGGAAGTAGTGTGGGTGAGAATTTGGATTAGATATTTATTGTAACTAATAGAATTGTTTGTTGTGTCAAGAGCACAGCACAGTTGATGAAGCAGTATTAGCTTACTTTTGGCAAACAAGGAAACTACTATAATAATATGTGGTTTCTTAATGATCCAAAAAACAAATCAAATACAATACTTGCGACAGCTCTTGCGGTAGAAAGATACATTATACAGCAACTGTAAAGAGTATGTGGAATACAGATATTGCCATCTCAATTCTTACAACATGTGTGAAGGTATTTTTGGTTGTGAAGTTGAGTATTTCAAGGCAATTTGACCAAGAAACAATGGACAGGAAGACTTATTGAGCCACCTCCTGAATTGTCCACTGTTAAATCATTATTTATTTATTTATTTAATTATATTTGAGTGTGAATTAAAACTCTAACTGTCTCCACCCAAAGAATTGTTTTTGAGAGGAAGTGCACCTGACACATACCTATATTTTCATGCCATGTCAGGCATGGTTTGAATTAACAAATAAAGAAGCCTTGACTGTGCTCTGTTTTGTTGTAAAGCACACAGGAAGTAGCTAAAGCATTCAAGAAGTGTAGGAAGAAAAAACGAGACATGATTGAATGAAGTCCGCAAAATGGTCTGACATAGTACAAATTGGCAAATGGCGTGACTGAGCTTTAGCTCAGTTCTGTGTTTTGTACTATCACTGGTAGAGCACGCTCTTTCAACCAATGACAGCGTGCATTATATCCGAACTTTTTTATAAATGAATTTAATCAAAATTAGAAGTCTCAATTGTTCTTCAATACTGCTTGTCTTTTCAGATCTGTAGAGACGTATCTGTTGGACAACGCAGGCACTGGATTTCAAGTTGATAAGTTCTTTGAGTCAGTGGGTGTTTTCATTGGTGTTTTCTCGGGTTCTTTCTTTCTCGGTTTTGCTATGGGTCTTGTTACTGCTCTTGTATCCTTTCAAAAGTTTATTTAACATTATTATAAACAATGGAGGATAAAATCTTGGGACACTTACGGAATCTTACAAAAATAAAATCCATCCCCTTTCCCCTCCCCCCCCCCCTCAAAAAAAAAATGAATTTTGTGTGCTTTGTAAATTTTACCGAGATGTGGTGACAATTTTTTTTGAGGGGGGGGGGGGAAGGTGGTGGGAAGTTTTTGTTCATAAGCCTGAATTGGCAAAAAGTGGTGTTTTGTAATATATTTGGATATAGAATTTGTTGTCAATATCTGTCCCATGGAGGTTTGATGTTCGTTATGAACATTTTGTGTTTTTAGACCCTTAACATCACAACAAAAACAGGTGACAAAACTCACCAAAATCTCAGACTTTCCTCTCTTAGAGACGGCTTTGTTCTTCCTACTGTCATGGACCACATTTCTCATGGCAGAGGCAGCCAATCTAACAGGTAAGTGTCTAAAAGTTCACGGAATACCAAAGTAATGGAGAAAACCTTATTATCGCATTAACTGCGGTGTCATACAGGAATTTCCGGCCCTGGGAAAAGCCGGAACAACACACGTTAAAAAATATCGAATTTTTTTTTTTTACGTGTGTTGATATAGCCAATCAGCTGCTGACACGTCACACGCCTTTGGCGCCACTCGGTCAGTTTGATGAATGAACGGCAAAGCCTTCACGATTCACGAGAGATGCCATGTAATATCCTCTATTTATCACATAAACTGCGGTGTTATATAGGGTTTTCTGGCCTTGAGAAAAGCCGTAACAACACACGTGAAAAAAATAGATATTTTTTCACGTGTGTTGATATAGCCAATCAGCTGCAGACACGTCACTCGCCTTTGGCGCCACTTGGTCAGGTTGATGAATGAACAGCAAAGCCTTCACGATTCCCAATACAAGTTGTTTATCGGAGCTTTCTCGAATTATGGCGGCTAGAACACTATAAAATCCGTATCGCTGACAGACAATAAGGTTCAAACTTTTCTAGAAGGAGAAGAAAACCAATATACTGAGAGAAAAACCGAAAGTTACGTATTCAGTGGCTTTGGTGTTAGCATCTCTCTCGGCTGAGAATGAAAATCGACAACTGGAAGATTTGCCACTAACCGATTTTGGCCGTTTACCTGAAAGACTTCTTCTGTCGGTAAGGACAAAGTCAATAAATGAGAATTTTGTAAATTGAAAATTACGACCATTGTTGTTTTTGTAATCATGATTCAACGCATTTTTCCATTTTAAGAGTTAGCGCCAACAGAGGGCGTGAAATTGCGCCTAATACAGGCGCCAACGCGACTAAATTTTTCACTTTGGCGACCAAATCCTGAAAGTTAGTCGCCAAATTGGCGACTAGAACGTTTCATCATAACCTTACCAAGAGATATAGTGAATTAAAAAGACTTGCAAAGATAAATCCGCGGCAATCTTCCTCGTTAAGTTTGTTTCCAAAACGTAGCACATGCATCTCGATCGATAACTAGACGCCATCTTGGATTTAGATGAGCCTGAACGTTGTATATCATCCATCTTAGTGTCCACTTTGCAGCACGTTAAAGAATCTTTTCCCTAACGTAATTTTGGTGGGTCTATCTAGAACGCTGACAGCGTAAAGATAGATTTTGTTTGTCTTTGAAAATGGCGACCAACTTTTTTGAATTGGCTACCACTTTGAAGAATTTAGGAGCCAAGTGGCTATCAGAAAAAAAAGTTAATTTCACGCCCTGTCAACGCACTCTACGATTGTTATTCGGGGATTGTCGATTCATTTATTTTCATTCATTGATGAAATCGGCTTTTCTTCTCAGTAGAAGGCTCGTGTTCAACTCGCTGCGCTTACTCGTGAGCTATCGAGTTAAACACTCGAAGAGAAATTCCATATCTACGCGCGCCCATATATTATTCTCTATTTATCTAGGTAATCACGATGAAAATAATGTTGGGAATGTAGTAAATAAAGAGAGCACTGGCTAGTAATTCTGCATAGTTATCTTTATTACCATAAATTTGAGAATTATTACTTCTCATTTATTAACATGCAAAAAGACACCTGATGGATTAATATAATTGTAATCATTGCAATTTCCGAATTGGGCTCCACTCAGTCCCATCACCATCACTAATTTTAAAAAAAATTAATGATAGTAATGAGAACACTCATGATAATGATAATAATATTAATAGTATAGTAAATAGTAATTGTTATTGCTATTCTTATCTTTTATGTGGATATTTTATGTGTATTATTATTATCAGCATTACCATTACTGTAATAATTTTTTATGTGTATTGTTGTTGAAACCGTAAAATCATTTTCATGCTGTTTCCCTCCAGGCATTGTTGCAGTTCTTTTCTGCGGAATTTCTCAAGCTCATTACACATATAACAATTTGTCAGAGGAGTCAAAACAGAACACAAAACAGGTACTGTACTTCTAATAATTTTGGCTTGTCATTTACATGTGTACTGTACTTATCCTCAAAACATATTTTTTATATATTTTTTTGTTAAGCTTCAGGAAAATCATACACTTCATGATACTACGGGGAAAGTAATTTCCGAGCCCGAAAGGGGCTAGGAGAAGTAGCGGCAGTGAACTAAATGTTCGCTCGCATTATGTGATTATTCCACTATTTCTTCACCATTTAGCACTTTGATTTTAGTTTTGCGAAATACGCCCTACCGCCTTATCTTTGCATCATATCGATCGCATAAGGAGTATACAAAGGACGAAAACAACACGAAAGAAATCACTACTGTGTTTTTTTGGGACCAAAAAAAGATCTATATCACGCTTAAGATTTCGTTTGTTTAAACATGAAACCTAAAAACGAAAAACAAATCAAAGTTTTGGGTCGTTCATTACGGTCACTCTGTTGCTCCGTAGTTTTGCCCTGTTCTGTCGTGTTATACTTTGGAATAATAGTTCTCTTACAGCTTTTTCTACCGAAAATTACAAAGCTAACCTTGATATGTTTTCCAACGTTTCTTTGCAGACGTTTGCACTCTTAAATTTTCTAGCGGAGAGTTTTATATTTTCATACATGGGGTTATCTCTCTTCACCTTTCAACATCACCAGTGGAAGATTGGATTTATATCATGGACATTTGTATCTTTTTTTATTAAATTGGAGTGGTTACTTGGAAAGTAACACCTAACACATAACTTCTGATCGTTCGAAAATTTTGAATAATTTTTACGCGGCTGTGTTATTATTTCTGGTTCGGAAAAAAATTGAAAAATCAAACAATAGCCCCCATGTGAATCTGTACAGAAATTATTTTTAAACTGTCAACTTTTTAAATCAATTGTTTGTTTTTCTATTTTATTATTACTTTTTAACGTTTAAGAGTTGTGATACCATGAATTATTTGCACAAACGGCTCAGTTTATGCAGAGCTACTTGAAGTAAATGTGAGGAGCTTTGAGGAGCGGTAAAAATTCGGAGATTTAAGCAACGATGCTAGTTTTATGTTGACAGCACCACGAGAGAGCTTAATCTTTTGTTTCTGTGTTCACTTTTTGTATTATAGTTAGTTTATTAGAAGTTTAATTGGTCAATCAGTTTAAAAGGATCGAGAAGTTAATGAATGTTGTGCATCTCAAAGGTACCAGCAAAAGCATGCAACGAAGACAATTTTTCGGTTTTCCCTCCTTCTCGCTATCGTTCACCAATTGATACAGTTTGTTAACGATGAACATACCTAAGCGAGAGCCCGCTTGGGTCATGCTGTAATGATATCTGACTGATTGAACGTTCCTAAGCCAATCATCGGTTATTGATTCTTAACTGTTTGATGTACAGGTTGCCATGACTTTAGGAAGGCTTTTAAACGTTTATCCATTGTCGTTTTTACTTAATTTGGGAAGGCACAGGAAGATTAGTTACCAATTTCAGCATATGATGATGTTTGCAGGTGAATAATCTGAAGGTTGTTTTTTTCAAGGAAAAGAATATAGAACAAGGGTATCATTTTTGATGATGATCAGTGTTATAGGTAGAGTACAATTCGGTCTGAAATTAAACGAGTGATTAACAAAATTGTACAACAGCGAAACGAGAGTCCAATTTGGTAACTCCGTAAATGATTACATCTAGAATCGGAAGACACAAAATCCTATTCGAAATTAATCGATAGAGTATGCGCATTCCCCCCTTTTCGGCGAAGTCCGTCGCGCGATTAAAAGAAAATTGATGTCAGCGCGTCCCGATAGTTCTAGGAGTGACGTCGATAAAAGTATGTATCAAAAATTGTGATACACACCGTGGGTTAAACCTCTTCTACTAAAGTAGACTCAACACGAGATAATAAACTGGTGTAGGGTCGGTGTTGTTAAACGCCCGATTTTTTCTATTAAAAATGGTGGTAAAACTGAATGAAGTGTACTCACGGACAACTCAGGGGAGTAATTTCAAATCACCTGAGGGTGAGGCTGTCACTCTTTTTAGAGTGACAGACTCAACTGCAATTACCGTAGGCATCTTACTGAGTTAAGTCATGCCCACTCACTCAGGCTTTGACGAGGTATTAAGTACTCGTTTTTTACTAACAATCTTCCATTAATGTATCAGTGTAATTTTACACCTTTTATCCGTTCAATGAAGGTTTGCGAGGTGCCGTTGCATTCGCTTTGGCCATGCGCAACACGGAATCAGTTTCTCGTCAGATGATGTTGACGTCAGTACTAATTGTGGTTTTAATAACTGTTATTATCAATGGAGGTGCTACCATGTCGGTACTCTCTTTTCTGAGGATAAGGTAGGATACTGTTTTAAACTTAAAGCAACTAAATCCAGTGGCAGACATTTCCATTTACAGCAATTTGTCAAAGTTCTTTGAAATCACCTCTGACCGTTGCAATCTAATTTGATCCAAGAGTTCCAAATTATTCGCTAGTCACTCTCCTAAGAATAGCTTCACTTTTTCTTAAAGAAGATATTTATTTTTTAAAAGAATTAAGTATTTTTTTCTAACGACGGAATCACGGTATACGTAGTACGTTCTTAAGTGGGTTCTGTTGCTTTTGAATCCAATTTTTAAAGTAAACATGCTCCATTTGTTTTTCAGGGTTGGCGTAGATCCTGAAGAAGAAGATAAGCGGTCTACCTATGTTTCGGTCAGCACTGTAGGTTCTTTCCGTATTAGTGTTCAAACTTTCTTGCCTTTTTCGGGGCAACCATGTTTAATTAACTCGAAGACCACATAAATAGATACTAGAGTCGGGTCTTCTTTGCTTTGTGGAGCGTGGCCATGAATCCTTTTCTTCCTGAATTTTGCTTTTATCTATCTCTGTTATTACCACTTCCGCCATCTACTAGCAAAGTTAGCCATCACTTTCTTTTGCCTCAAGTCGTCAAATGTGCTTTATTATTTTTCTTGTTTCGCCGGGTATGTTGAGTCTCAGTTGTGCCAGTTTTACGCTTGACTCTCTCCTCTGGCCTCAAATGATTGTTTCATCTATACTCTGCAAACGGCCATTACCGTCGATTGCATCTATCCTTCTACGCACATGTTCTGTTGGCGTAGCCAACTTCAATGTTTTGACAGCATTGCCAGCCCACTTGAGAGGGTTTTCACGCTTGCTGATAATGATCGGAAATGGCAGTTGCATCAAACAAGGCCAAAATATGTACTTGAACTTATGCCTTGTTTGTCTTTTTTTTTTATTTGTTTGTTTGTATGATCAACCACCGACTTACGAAATCAAGAAATTAAATCTCGCACAGCTAGATAACAACAAGGAACACAACATTACCTAACGCTCAAATCACAGTTTCCGTGGAAATATATTTGCGTACATTCTCTCGACCTCTTGGTACACACTTTGAACTTTTGCTGTCAAAACGTTGAAGTTTGATAGGCCAACACAACATGTTGTCATCGCGTGCGTGGAAAGGTAGACACAAACGACGGTACCTGTAGAAAGAGGTGTTAAGTTAGGCATTAAAGAATTAACCAAACACACAAAATATAGAAGGTTGTTGCCTGTTCTTTTTAATTTGATGAAATCATACTGTCGAGTCTCCTTGATTACTTTTCTGTGTTTAGTGCTTTTATTTTGATTGTTATTATTATTATCCAAGTTTTTTTGTGAACAATTCAAGTTCTTTTCGTTTAGTTTGTACTTGTCAATTATTATGTTACCATCTTTTTTTTTTTTTTCATGTTCAAATAATGTAGGAAGCCGACGACAATCTCAGATCTGCGCAGTCTCATTACGAAAGAGCTTGGATCTTTAGAAAGTGGTACGACTTTGATGTCAAATATCCTTTGATGAAAGAGTTGTGCTACTTGCGTTGCATTTTAATTGTGCTTTTGTAAAGCGAGATTGATGCTGTTGTATGCAGCAAAGTGTACTGTGCATGTCAGAAACTTTTTATTGAAACAGCTCAGCAGATTAAACTCGTTTGTTTTCATTGGTATATGGAGGTTTCGCCCATTTCAAGTTTGCCCTTTACCCTCTTTGAGAGTACGCCCCTGTAACAAAGCAGGTTCGCCCCCACCTATACCAGTTCTATGTCATGAATGGAACTGTTAGCGAGGTTATTCTTTCGCCCATTTCAACAACGCCCTCTACCATTTTAGAGAGTTCGCCCCTGAAGCAAAGCAGGTTCGCCCAACCTATACCAGTTTCATGTCATGGATGGAACTATAGGGGAGATTATTCAATACCGACCAATTTAGTTCTGGAATGATTAGGTGTTTTGAGTGGATAATCGCTATTTACTTTCTTATCGGGTTTACTTTAGTTTTTATCCCATAAACTTGGTGAAAAGGTCTTAGTTAAACAGGTCATATTGTTACGATGATTATTGTAAACCACTTCCAGAATGGAGTCAAGATTCCTGATTTGTTGGTAAATGTGGTAATTAGCCTTTTGGAGCAGTTCGCCTAGACAAACAGCATGAATGGGTATTTTAACGAAACCTTTAGGGTTTTTATCATTAAAAAAGGGTGATTAGAAAGTTAGGGTTCGTTCGTTGTAGGGCCATTGCGTTGGCTCAGTTTTAGTCGAAGCGCGAAGATAAGTTCGACACGAGAAGTGTTGCTATTGCACTTTGATTACAAGTTTATCCAGCCTCCGACAAACGAAAGAGAACGGGAAGAAGGAATAAACTCTCTTCCCTTCCTTCGCGCAGAACAGAGCACGTTGCATTGGAGGTCAATTTATTGGTGAAGGGTAAATGCAGTGAAAACGAGACTTACTTTCATTTCCTTGACAAACTTTACGTATATGAAACCTATTTTTACCAACTATGGCCAGCCTCTGACAGAGACTTTACCGGGATGGTGCGCTCCTCTTGCAAGATTCCTCTCAAGATCGCGGCCTGATGCAAAGGTACTGTTTCAAATTTAAGCGGAAGGTTTTTCTAGATAAATGAACGTCTAATCGTTTTTCTCATTGTGTAAGAGTCAGGCTAATCAATCGTGTGTTGATCGCAACGTTAAGACTGCTACACTGCTAGTTTTTGTCAGGCGACGAGGTTGGTAGTTTACATTTTGCTCTTTATAGTATCTTACCTTGTTATTTTGTTATCGCTGTGTCACAGCGCGCTCTCATTGGTGCATTTCGATCATCAGTGTCATTCCGTCTATTAGATGTTTGTCCCTCATAGTTGGGTTTTGTCTCTGATTGGCTGTCATGGTTTTTGATAGTTCGCATCCATGATTAGGGATTTCGATTCCGTTATCCCTACTCTTTTTGTAAGGATAAAGCCTTATGTGATAGGCTTCTTTAACCCTTCCTGTGTGCCAGGGAAAGTCATGATCAATAAACCGAACCTGGTCCTTAACAGCAACATGTCCTGTTTCAATGTCGTGTTCCGAAATCGCCGAATTCTGAGCGCGAGCTGGTGCTATGTCTCTTTCATGGTTTTTAATTCTATCTGTCATCGCAACGGAAGTGGAAAATGTTTAAAACGGGGAGATAAAATTAAATATGGTGTGTCCCTGCAAATGTTTTGCATTATTTTGTATATTAACGTTCATCCATATAAACTGCCATTTAACAACCGTAAGTAGGCAACTATTGGTGTGGACCCCAGCTTTTACGGGTCTTGTTTCAATGTAGGCAGAAACCGTGGTAACAGATAGCGACGAAGACATGCTGAATATAAATGGAGAACTGAGTTTTACCAGCGAAGTTATGGTCAGACCCGCCAGCGGCAGTGTGAACAGTGGTGAGCCGCCTGATCAGATATTGGAAGGAGACCTTGGATTAGGTGCTGTGCAAATGACAAGCAGAGCATGAATCATTTTTATTAAACCAAAGGTTCCTGTAAGTATTTAACTACCATAACGACAGCCAAGATCCAGCCTCAGATAAGCGCTTATCTGTTAGTTCAGAAGTTAAAATTAAACCTTCTCGCCCTGGTGAAATAGGATCACGTCTAGGAGAAAAAAAATAGTTTTTTCCTTCAATTAAAAGTGGAATTGCTTCTGGCATTGTCAGGTATGGAGGCCTCGGTTATTCAGCTACTTCATGCACCCTATGAAAATTTCGGGAACCTATATCGTGCATCTCAGATTCTAACTCTAGCCTCCTATGTAGTCGTCAAGGGAGTCGTCACACTTCTCAGTTACAAGCAAACTCTCTTTTTTTTAATCATGCATTTCGTATCGATTTCTAGTTTCTTGGTCTGGTCAGGTAGTTGTCACAGGATGTCGACTTAAAGGAGAGCTTAAAAACTGTCTCTTTTACAGTGAAAAGCGCTGATTGTAAGCTAACTGTCTTTAATTGTTAAATTGTAAGTAGTAAGAGTGTTTGGGATACGTGCTTTGGCCAATTAAGGTCAATTTATTGGTTCGGTCTTATGTAGTCTTGTAGAAGTTTAAAGTATTTCGCTCCTCGTGATTGGTGTTTTACTGTCATTGACTTTTTTACACTCTGATTGCAATTTTTCTACCCGTTTAATGAATGTACAATTTTGAAATAGTCTTTCCCCTCGTAACACTATATTCGAGAGGAATAATTTCTTGATGGTTTCAAACATGTTAAGTTCGAAGCCGTATGAGAACTGGAATTTTTTGCAAAGTTAGTTTGCTAATCTGCTATAACTAGATTTAATTTCAATTATATTGATGAATAGTTAATTTTTGAAATTCACAAAAATTACTTAAAAAGGCGATATTCGTTATATGAGGCACACTTCAAGTTTAAATGGAAAATGATTACTGGACATTCTGTTTTAACCGATGGACGTGAGCCGACAAAATTAGGATAGGCTCATAGAGTCTTATTTTACTGATTGTTCTTGTTGAGATTAGTTTGTCAATTTTCTTCTGACTCATGCCTAAAGCTATTACACGTAAGTAGTTTTCCTTATAATAAGTATTACTCCTTAAACTTTGTAAGCTTTTCATTTCAAATTTTCTACCTGTTCGTAGTGTAATCGGTCACAGGTGTTTTCCTTCAAATAAAGCGATTTTTTTTTTCTAGTCAATATACAGGAAATTGTACTTGAAAGGTTTTGAGTAAGTCAGTTAATGCAAATTTAACATATTTTAAAGAAACTCGTATCTTCTTCACTTTGCCTTCGTCAAGTTAAAAATAAGAAGATTTTGTCTAAGCCACCGAGAATTTGTAAGAAGAATTTTATCTAGCGAAAATGAACTTTAATAAAATAAAGATTAATAGTTTATTGTCAAATTTTGTATGGTTTCACATTTAATTGGATTGGTTATTTTTTTTTATATTGTCGTTGGAGCTGTTGTTGTTGTTGTTTTTTTTCATAATTAGACTAACCTTTGTTTTAGTGCAGATGTCTCACTCACTCAGTTTTGGATGGTAAGACAAGATTACATATCTCCTTGATTATATTCCAAGCATAAATTTCCACAGATCGAGCCATTTCAGGTTTTTAAGGAAAATTTCTTATGTGGGTAAATATTGTCATTTGATATTTATGGAGTGCTATATTGGTTATGGTTATCTTGAATGCACTGCATTGGTATCGTCGAAAGCAGACTTAAAGTATGTTTTTATTCCTTATTCAATGTAGTTGATAGGGGTAGTGGAAAGCTCTTATCCACAAAAGTACAAACAATAAAAAAGATCTCATGCTCTCAAAGTTCATTTTATCACAGTGATTGTAGGAAAATGGAAAGACTCAAATTGTGGTCACCTTTTCAGCTACGACTGCGTTCAGCTTATCTCCCTGCTGGAGAAAAAATTGGGAATGAATTCCACTGAACTGGTTTATCATAATTTTAAGCCTTTGGAAGACTCTTCCGTGATAAAAACTCGGGCATTTTTCGGACAACAAATTTCTTCTTTTGGAATAATATTTTTTAAAAGCATAAGGCACTTACAGGAAAAAAGACGATGCAACTATGTTAAATATTTTTGATTAAATTGTAATTGTTGAATAATTCGAGAAGAAATGAAAGAAAATCAAGTGTAATTTGCTGATGATCCACTTTTAAACTCTGGAATATATGTCTTTTGACCATTTAAATCACGTCCTCAACCATGATGTCGATTAATCTAATCAGAAAACTTGCAATACATTTTTCATTAAATGCTTAACTATTCCGAAAACTCACCTGGTTTTGCATATATTGGGTTTTTTCACAACCCCCCTTAAAGCTATATGTTACATTCAGTGATTGGTAACGCTGTATCAGGAAATATGACTTTTTATGTGTCACTGTTCGTTTTGTTTGTTTTCTTGCTCCTTCAGAAACTGGGAAATATCCACGTTGGCCTTGTTGTCGCAGAACTCAGACCTCGACTTAATGCTAGTCAGATCTGCAGAACTCGCTGAAATTTTATTTTTTGCATATGTTGCTAGAGGGTGAACCTTTCCATGTCAGACTTCAATTCAGGACGAGGTTTGGCCTCTGCAGCCTATTACTATCACCAGCTTGCTTTCCACTCAAAGACATTTCGACTGGGCTTATACATACATACATACATACATACATACATGGGATTAGGTTACATGTGTGGACTTGCAATATCGAAAGAGATCGATGAATTATAACTCAATGAAACATTGATCAATAAAATAGATAAATATATATGACAAAAATTAAACTGACAGCAGACAGTACTGTTTCGGTCTTCTGGGCCTGATCAGTGCAGTGATCTTCGATAAAGTACTTAATTTGGACATAAAACCAAAGCTTGGTATAGTTAAATTTTAACATTTTTCTTTTAATATTCCTGTTCCAGCTGATGCATATTAGCATGTTAAAATCACCTACGGGCAAGGCATACCCTTTCTGCCAAAATTGCTTCACATCAAGTACATCATCAAATACATCATCTAGTACATCATTACCATCTTCAGGTATTTCTAATTTACTTGTGAAAATCACACAAATCACAAGATATATACAGCATACAATTAGCTAAAAATAATTATAAAGGAATGCAGTAATCTTTGATAATAAGAACACTGAGTAGCTAAATGACAAATAACCCAATCAAAATCTGCCGGCAACCGAGGATTTGGCCATCTACAACAAAATATCTGCAGCTTACTTCACGCTTGTTAGACTTCTAGTCTGGACGAGGTTCAGCCTCTACTTCCTATGACTGTAGCCAGCTTGCTTACTTCTCAAAAACATTTTAACTTGGTTAAAAAAATGTTTGAGTGAAAAATGGCCATAACAAGGCAACTTACTGCAAAATAAGAAACACAAAAGAAACATTTCAAACTAAAACAGAATAAAAGCCTTGTAGGGTTTGGCTTTCGATAAAATTAGTTAAAATAGCAAATCTGGAGTTTTACTGCTTACTCAAAATGGGCTGCAACCTGCGATTTGGCCGCGTACAATGAAGTATCTTCCGCTGACTTCACACTTTTCAGACTGTTTTTCAGAAACAGGTTTGGTCTCTGCTGTCTATAATTACTACAGCTAGCTTGTCTACTACTCAAAAACATTTTGACTGGGCTGTGCAAGTCTTACTAGCGTATTAAAAGCACCTTCAGGTAGATTACAGCGAAGCAGACTGTACCAAAATGTTATGCATTAAGTACGTCATTACCCTCTTCAGGTATTTCTAGTTTACTTCTGATAATCCCACAAATCACAAGCTAAATTACATCATACATTCCAGCTGACAAAGCAATCAGGGGCAAATTTTTTTTTAATAGCATGCAATAATCTTCAGTATCATGATTAATTGGTACCTATATAGTAACATGTTCGAGAGAAGAAATAACCGCAAACATTTCTCTTTCTCATCAGCATCGACTTACAAAAACAATGTATAATGACCACCTAAAACAAAGGAAAAAAAAATGAATCACATTTGTGATCTCACAGGGCTTTAATAGGACAAAAGTATGCATTTTTTTATTTCCTACAACTTACAAGTGGCCGAAAGAGCTGAAATGGCATTCACGTGAACACAACAGAATCTTCTGCGATTTATTTGGTGTCGAAATTACATCCCAAACGTCATGATATTTGCCTGAAACTCAACTTACCCAGCTCTCGTTTAGACTTCGAACCTTACTGCTTTCTCACCACCGTTTCAATGTTTTCCTGTTGTTCAGAAGATGGTTGAGCCATTGCAGATAGTGATCTCTTTTACTTGAGAACCAGATTACAACACCCAAGCCTTATCACGCTAAAATACTAAACTACTGAGATTTCCTTCGCAGCCGTAAGCCGCCATTTTTTCTTTTCGGTATACTTGTTCCCAGGCTTTGAGTTCCGACGGTCCACAGCTGGCCCAAGCTCCAACTGTGAGATGATCATCTTGCGCAATAACAGTCGTGGCAGCATTGTAAGAGTTTGGATAGGAATATCTACGACCGCTCAACGAATTAAAAACTACGTTAAACTCTCAATGAAAATACCTCATCTTACTTGCACAGCGTATCACTTGTTATCTGACCGCTTACTTTCATGAAAAGAACCCATTTTAGCAAGTTGTCCATTTCGAGGTTTTCCACGTACATAGGAAAAGCCCGCCCAAGCTCCAGCTGTGAGATGATCATTTGCGCGATAATATTCATGGCGGAATTATAAATATTTGTATGGGAATATTTACGACCGCTTGAAGGAATAAAAAAATATGTCAAATTCTCAATAGAAATACCTCACCTTACTCCCACAGCGTATCACTTGTTATCTGACCGCTTACGTTCATGAAAAGAACCCATTTTAGCGAGTTGTCCATTTCAAGGTTTTTCACGTACATAAAAAACCTCAAAATGGACAACTCGCTAAAATGGGTTCTTTTTATGATAGTAAGCGGTCAGATAACAAGTGATACGCTGCGCAAGTAAGGTGAGGTATTTTTATTGAGAATTTGACGTATTTTTTACTTCGTTAAAGTAGTCGGAAATATACCTATCCAAACTCTTATAATTCCGCCATGACTTCTATTGCGCAAGATGATCATCTCACAGCTGGAGCTTGGGCCGCCTGTGGACGGTCTCACACAAAACAAGCCATGAAGTTAAGCTATGCATAACTTTAGGGCCAATTAAGAAGTAGCGATAATCATAACTTTGGTATCGAGATCATGTTGCTACACATAATGGCGGTCTCCCGATCGAATTTATCGCTCTTAGCGTGTTTTTTACTACTTTCATTTTCTACCATCGTAGAAACACAAAATGAGGACAGCGGTAAAGTCAAAGAGAAGGAAGCTGCCGAGAAAGAGAAGAAATACAGTGCGATCCACACAGCATTCCTACTTGTTATGATGTTTTTGTTGATTATCACTGTGCTAACTGTGTGGATTTTTAAAGTTAAGCGTTGGCGCTTTCTGCACGAGACAGGATTTTGTATGATATACGGTGAGTTCCCTATTATAGGTACCGTAGTTTCTCGGTTATAAGGCGCACAGTTTTTTCAAGAAAATTCTGTCTTATTGTTGAGAGAAAAAGCAGAGCTTTTTGGTCTGAGGTGTAGCGAAGATTGCATCAAATTCAATCCTTAATTCCTATGAATTAAAAAGGAATACTGCTTCCAGAACACTCACCAACTTCCATAGAAAAGTTTACATACGTGCTAAGCAGCACTTGCTCGCTAATATGATATCCAACTCAGGTCCTTCGGTCGGTAGCGTTCTATGGATGCACATTTTGTTATCCGCAGCTCACCAGAAAACAGGAAATGTTTCCGGTTGTGTCATTTTCTCTCCATGAATTCTGAAATGCCGTATTCACGGTCAATTTCACGATTGTTATTGACTATTGTCAGCAACAATTTTCAACTTGACGTTGAGATCATACGAGTGACGGCGAGCGCTTGGCATATTTGCGATCGAACACGAAGTTGAAGTTAAACTCTTACTGTTTATGATGAGTTTGACTGAGTTTTAAATCAGTTGGTTGATGTTAATAGAATGAAATCGGATCATTGAATATTTATTATTTAATTTTGTAAATAGAAGCATGTTTTCTAAGCAGGAAGGCTAAAACAAACGAGTATGCGTTTATGTTTCTCATTACAGGTGTGAAATTTTAGCCTTGGTTTTTACGTAGATCATTAAATCTGTGACTTTTTCACTTTTATTTACGTTAACAAAAGAGTTTGCATGCCAGTTGTGTAGGGATAATTGTTCTCAGTTCCATCACTTCCTTTTGTTAAGTCTCAACCTTTTGGTACTTCAAATAGCCGAGTATTTTCACATAATTTTCAGTTTGGGAACTCGGCTTGAATAAGTTGCTTAGTTTGGGGTGCGCTTATAACCGAGTGCGCCTTATAATCGAGAAACTACGGTATGTTCAGTTGAAGCACTGGTGGTAAAATTTTATCAAACAATACATAGCCTTTAAGAAAACAGATTTGTTTTACAATAGTATGGGGCTATGCGGAAGTTGGTGAAATTTCCGCACAGCTCCTTACTATTGTAAAACAAATCTGTTTTCCCAATGGGAATGTATTGTTTTTGTCATTGATTTCTGTAGCCAAGAACTGAATGCATAATTTATGATGGGGCTATGCGGAAATTTTACCCCGTTTGATCAAGTCCGCTCACAACTGACCGCCTGATATTACAGGTATCCGGCATATTGCCAAAACTTGCCTTCGAAATGGATAAATCTGTTTTCATAGCTTGCACGCGTTTCAATAAATGTTTGATCCCCGTGGTAAACTTTCATTAAAATTATGTAGGAAGGGCTTCAAGCCTTTGCTAAAATCAGGGAATAGGGCTCTTGTGCAGAAAAAAACATTCATTAGTTTGTAATTTGATTGTTTATTATCATTATCGCACAGTTAACAGTAAGGAAACTGTGACCGGAGAGAAGATTTTAAGGTCACATGTGGCGTGCTTGTTGACGCACAAGTTCCTGTGTGTAACAACTTCGGCTTTTCGAGACCGCGGATGATGGGAAACTCTGCCCCCCCTCATTTGAAAGTAAATATCAATAGCGCCATAACATTCATTAACTGTGCCATGTTTCCAGAAAATAAGATGGGAACATGTTTTTTTCCACTTTCCACCATCAAGAAATTCCACGCAGAAATAGTATTTGAAGCGTGACTGGGTAATCTTTCAGGAGAAGTAAAAATTGTTTATCTTTTATTTTTAGAAAACTCTTCTAGAAAGTGTTTAATCCTTCTGTTATTTTATTTGCCCTTTTTTTGACTGCAAATATCGTCTGCATTCGCTATTATTTTTGCTGCTTGTCATGGCCTTTCCTGCGTGCACGTGCGAGCCAGTTGGTACACAGCACTCTTTCGAGTCTCTTTGCGTTGTGTCGGGCTTAAGTGTGTAGCAAGGGGGCATTGGGGCCCATTAGAAATCGCAAAACCGTAGGAAAAATCATCCAAAACCGAAAACCGTAAGCAAAACTGTCCAAATCGATACATTTTCACACCCCAGTTGTTAAAACCCTGATCGATCCGATAGAGTGGTGACAAGTGGAGCATACAGAGTTAACTACACTAATTTCATGACAGGATTTATGAATACCATGGACTTGGCATTCGTATCTTCTAGTATCTGCTTAAATTAACCGCTGCGCTCTCGAGGACCTCGAGCGTGGTCTCTGCGGACTCAGCAGCTGGTAATGGAGCCTAATTAAATTAATGAAATTGGCACAAACGTTCTCCATAGGATTGCAATTTTGCAGTCGCAAAAAGCTATAGCTATGGAAAGTTTCATCGAAGTTTCTAAGACCTGAAAGTTTGGAGATTCTATTGGAACGTTGAATCAATCAGTCACGTATGACTTGTAATTTGGTTACCAACTTCGAGGTGGCGTTGACGTTGATAAAGTAACTCTGGCAATGATCTATGCTTAGCCTTACCCTAAGTGTAGCCGTACCGTCCCCCCCCCCCCCATCTTAGTGAAGGGGGAGGGTAAGGCTACACTTAGGCTACCTTGGGATCCCTGCGATATTTCAATTGGTTTGTCACGCATTCCTCTCGATAACATTTGCGTTTAGCGGCTATTCGAGATCAGTGAAGGCGCGTGATTTCGCGAAAACCGAAAACCAAATGCTTAAAGACGCAAACCGCAATGAACACCAAACCCGAAAAACCGACGTGTTTTGGCACAAAAACCGAAAAACCGATCTGAAAAATAGCCAAACCCGCAAACCGAAAATCCCAATGCCCCCCTTGTGTAGGTCTGGCTCAAAAGATATCTGTACGCTGCAACATGGGTTCCTATGTTTTCTCCTTTTCCTTTATTTGTATTTTTATTCCCTTTCTCGTATTATCACACATGTATGTTTTTTTAATTCCCTCAGTGCGTTCCCTCAGAGTTGGAAGTAGACTATGAAAAGCCAATATTGACCAGAACTGAAACCTTTTCTATCACTATTTGTTTCAAAGAACCCCTGTTATTTATAATTTTAGTTCTCAAGAGAATGTGTATTTATTTGCTATTTATTTCCATTAGAACACGAAACTAGGTAGAGATAACTTATTTACTATTTGTATATGAGCAGGCTTATTTACCCCACTTGTAAAACTACTTGATGAAGTCTACTATTGTTAGACGAAACGCGTGGGAGATAAATACAGGTTTTTACTTTCTCAGATCGTGCAGTGATGCTCACTGTTTCGGCAAAACACTCATCAACTAAGATCCGCATTTGCTGATCAACAACAACTCTTTAATCAAACCTCATGTATGTGTACGAAGACAGTATTCTTCAAATATGGCCATGAAAACCATGTACGTAATATCTCCCTTTCTTTAAAAAAAATAAAACAACTCTAACAGAACTTGCCTAAAAATCTGGCTAACTTGAGTTTACCAAAAAACTTGTCGACGCTGAGACTAAACCTAGTCCCTAATCGAACTTACTTAACGCCTTTACTAACGTTTCTTATCAAAGTCTTTGAATCTGGACGAGTACTTCGGGTTCTTGTCTTCTGAGACACCGGTAAAGCTCTGCTTGTGCTGGATGAATGCTCCGCAGGACTCGTGGGTGGTGAGCTTACTGGCTTAATACTTAAAGAAAGGTGTGGCAGGCCATATCGGTTCCGTGGGTACTTTCTTGAGATTAACACTAGGTAAGGTTGTATCATCCTTGTTTCTTTGCTTGTCTTGAGTTGTAGGCTCTGCTGCATGTCTCAAGAACTGCCTATTCCTTCTGAAGGTCTGATCGCCTGACTTGACCATGTAGGACCTGTCTGAGAGTTTCTCTACGCAAGCAGTCTGCTTCCACGTTTGATTCTTTTGCAAGAGTTCAATTTCAGGCAACTGTTTTGCAGTACGGTCATAGTAAAACTTGGCCTTTCGCCTTTCCCCTCTAACTGCTCTGTGGAGTCTGGAATTATTTCGGGACGGGGAAGACTTGCTGCTGTAGGTAGCAGAGTTCGTAGACTTGCTGCTGTAGGTAGCAGAGTTCGTGTTCTTCTAGACATAAGCCTTTGACTAGGGCTGGTTCCTAGACCTTCTGTATGGTTGTTCCCATAATCTAACAAAGCTAACAAGGGGTCTTTACCATCACGTTCAGCTTCCTTTAATAACTGTTTGACCGTCCTGACTGAAGATTCAGCTTTACCGTTAGCCTTTGACGTCACGTGGTTGAATTTCCAGCTGCGTAAAAACTCGTGAAATTTCTGACTGCTAAACGGTGTACCATTGTCTGAAACAACAGTATCCGGAATCCCATGTCCACTGAATTTCTCAGGCATGAAGCAATTCCTTGATGGCTGGAGTGTATTCTTGAAAGCCTCTCCGGCCTCATAGCTTTCGGAACTAACACTCTCTGACTCTTAAACAGAATTGCATTGTGGAGCGAAATCTCTTCTATATAATTCCAGTAATCGCGAACTTGTATTGGGCATCGCTCTCTTTTCTCTGGCCATCCCGTTAGCACAATAGTTTTTAAGGTTTCGAGAACGAGGTCTTGCACTGTAGACTTCTGCGGTTGATCTAGCCTTTCTGGATGGAATCAAAGGGGGTGAGTGTGTCAAGTTCTATGGCGAAAACTTGAAAATTGTCTGACATCGACGTACTATCAGCAAGTGAGGCTCTGGACAAATTATCGGCCACATACATCTGTGCACCAGGTTTGTTCTTGACTTCTACATTAAAGCGTTGTAACCGCAACATCATTCACCCTTTTAACTGGCAAAGTTTCATTGAAATCGGTGAGATGGCATGTAGCACGACTGCCTGGTGCTCTCTTGGACACACTCTTAATTTTTCAAATTTATTGGTGAAAGATACACCAAGAAATGAAAATGTTTGGAGTCATTTTCAGCAAAATATTTTGCTGATAGATTTATCAATACTAAATAATAAAAATGCTGTGGGAACAAGACGTATTTTTTTTACCTGTATAAATCTGCTGTGTACCGTTATGCTTCCTAAGAATAAATACTCAGACAAATTTTTCTTTCTTGTTTGGACCAAGTCCCACAGGGTCTGTTATGGGAATTGTCCGAATGCATTTAGACTAACTTGGATTTAGAAAATTTTTCAATAAGAAGAAAAGAATCATTTGTTCGAGTAATTCATTTTTACAGTGCTTTTGTCATTTACCTGGAGTAGAAGGGCAACTCCAAGTTATTCATATCTTAAGCCCAGTTCAAATGGTCATGACAGTTCATAATAGTGGACGATAGTTTCAACTTTCATTCACCATCACTGACCATCATGTTTTCTGTCGCTCGCTTTGACTGTGTACTCTCGGTTGCATAGTGACTTGCAATTCATTTCAAATTCCACTTTTTAACACTTCCTTTAAGTTTGCAAGGTGCATGTTGTGATGACCATAGTTGCCGTGGATTGGTTGTTGGGTAAATTGTGCTAAGTTATCATTTTTTTTCCTAGGTCTGGTAATTGGCTTTCTCATAAAATATCTTAGTGGAAATAAGAGAGTGGCAGTTACTCACTCAAACTGTACCATAAGTTCTGCAGCAAAGAAGCTGTATATCAGCACTCCAAATGGTTCACTGTATTCATGTACGTTGTCTGGAGCAGTGCAGAATTCTGGCGCTGATCAGGGAAGTGAGCTGAATCAGATGGTAAGTACAATGAAGAAAATTCAGAGGCTGATGATAAACTAATAAAAGTTTTCTTACTCGGATTTTTTGTTTTTAAAGTGATTCCGCTCAAAAAGCAATATGTTTGCTATCTAATTAGTATATTTTAAAAGCAACGGTGCATAAAGGTCTATCGAAAAAGAGAGAGAACAGGAAAACAACCTCGAAAGTTTTGAAACCATGCGGCTAAAGTCGGTGCAATTAAACTGCACACGTCATGTTATGTATGCACATGCATACATGAGGATTTTTATCATCAGGGTAGTTCCTTAAGAATTAATTAGGACTTGCGCGTGTGCTAATTTATAATACTGTAATGTGAACACATTGGATCAAGCAAGTCCTTTCATCAAACAAATAACAGTATGACGCAAATCAAACTAGTTAACTGCAAGTGTTTTATAGTGAAAAAAAAGAAAGACATATTTTGCTCCTATGACAAATGGAAAGTACAGGCAAGAAAAATAAGTTAGAGTAAAGGAGCAATGTATCAAGCCTTTTTACCCAAACATCAATATAAATATTCTCCATACTTTTCTCTATATTCTTCCTGACAATGGGAATTTGTTTAACAATCAATAGCTTCTTTGGTTGATCATTTTTCCTTTATTCTAATGACCTTAATGTTGGATTCGGAGGTAACATTGTTAGGAGAAATTAAATACTATTTACTCCCAGGGGTAAAAGAGTTAAATAAATTTTCTGTTGTTAGAGTACTAACCATAACATGCTGGGCAGAAAGGATCTCAGAATTTTTGCCTAATTTATAAATTATTATTTAATATCAGTTAAGAAATACTTTGTTGATCAGAAATGAGAGTTGAAAGCCTTTTGAGATGTACAGTTTACATTTTTCTTCTTTTTCTTCATGCAGGCTGTATTTGATCCTGAAATATTTTTCTATGTTCTACTGCCACCAATTATTTTCTATGCTGGATATGACATGAAAAAGGTAATAACTAAGTGAACTTTTGTTATAATCTTAATATAGTTCACATCTCTGCATTTACATAATTATACAGTGGTATTAAAGCACGCTCATGTCACTTAAGAAAATTATTCAGAGTAAACAGAGCAAGCTCCAAGACCTTCTTCCTGCTCATAGCATCAGTACTTTGAACCTAAGGATTAAATGAGAGTTTAGGCCCATGTTCAAGACGAAAAAAATTTTCAATAGTTTTATCACTTTAATGACCTTAAATCCTAAACTATTTTACTAAAATTGTATATTCATTTGACATATTCAGTTTACAAACGCGACAGATATGCAAACAAAGTTCTCTACAAACTTGCCTCAAACCACTAATAGTTCTTTTTAATGTTATTATTGCTATAAACTTTGGTAATAATTGTATTATTCAATTTTTTAGCTTCAGAGAAATAAAATTATAAGTAAACTATTTATTTATCTTTCACACTTTCTTGTTTGGAATAAGTACAACATTATATAGATTATTATTGTATATCTATATTACACTTGCAGCGCTTTTTCTTCCGGAACATTGGCGCCATCCTTACATACGCATTTGTTGGAACAACCATCTCGTGCATGGTGTTTGGGTGAGTAGATTTGACTAGATTTAGTACGTGCACTTTGCGGTGTAACTCAAAGATAAGCGGCGGACATCGAATACTAGTACAGTACCATACCCTCACCTGAAGTGTATGTGTTTATGTACAGACTTGTATTAAAACAGGTTAAGATGAAGTATATGTGCTATTGTTATTCATTGTTATGTAACTTTTCCTTGTGTGCCATTGTGATCCACAACTAAATAGACGGTAATATGAAAGAGCCGGTCCGCAAGCATGAAATTCATGAAATAATTATGAAAATTGCCGTACACAAATTGTTGAACAGATTTAAAGTTGAGAAAGAAATGGCGTATGACCATTAAGCACTTACTGTAACAGTGCAGCTCTAACTGATGAGGAAACATGCATACACATACATTTACATGTAAATTAAGCATGTAAAAGTTACAGATATGATGATGGCTAAGAATTATTTTCCTCACCTGCATGGCTGATTTGCACTTTTGGACTTGTTATGATTTCATATTTATACTGTTATAAAAATACTTATGCTTCTTGTTTGTTTTTCTAATAATATGATGATGCTTCTGTTACACTTATAGTACTAATGATATTAACCCATGAAGAGAGTCATCTTTCTCAATTCAGAAGGAAAAGTATGGTTACTAGAAAGGAAAATAGTCAGTTAAATTTTGTGTGCATTTTGATTAGGTGATGTGAAATTAAAACCAACGTAAACGCAACAGCCAATCATAGGGAAGGAATAATATTATATCACAAAAAGCCAGTGAGAATGTTAAGGAGAGACAAGTCGCAATTGGTTTAAAATTTGAATTTGATTGGTTGAGAGGTTGATACAACCTTTTTATGCCAATCCTAGAGTAAAGTAAAACAAAACCAAAGCAATCCTGGATAAATAAGGAAATTTGCTTTTAAAGTTTAAGAAATTCCTTTAATATACTTTTACAATACTTCTTTACAACGCTTCTTACCAACTACTGTTTAATTTATTTGTTCTGTCTGATAAACAGGGGGACAATGTATGCCTACACAATGATTGATTCTCATCATATAGACAAAAATTTTGATTTCCTGGAATGCCTCTTGTTTGGAGCTCTGATATCAGCCACAGATCCAGGTATGTTGGTTTGAATTATTCAAACTGGCTACTCAAGGCAATACCAACCTTATGAGCAAGGGGCAAATTTTTACTTGTATTACAGTGTACCACTGAATATCAGATTCAACATTCCACTTTTATTTCATTTTCTAGTGCTTTAGCTTTTAGTTTGCAAAACGCTCCTATTTCTTTATCTGAATATCTCATTGATTGCATAGGGTGTACGTGAAAGGGGTAACAACATGGAGGAAACCATCTTAGTGTTCTTTGTGACCGTCTACAAAATCTGATAGGCTTAAAAGTTTGTTTCTTTAAAAGTCAAGCCTAAAAGGCAAAAACAAATGTTACCCTCCATGGGAAATCGGAAACTTACACTTTACCGTTAAACGGTCTAGAGAAACGTTTTTAAACAGATACTTAACGGCCAAAGTCCAAAAAAGGATAGCTTAAACTAAGAAACGGTTGACCAAAATCGACAAACGGAGAACTAAAAATTAATGTTAAACGGTTGTGGTTGAACCGGAAAGTTTTGAGGAGAAGTTTGAATTAAGCAGTCGGCTATTTTATTGCACCTCTTTCGGTATGTGTACTACTTTGGCATATTTTGTGTGTTCGGATGCCCTTATATGGTAAATTATTGTAGTTCTACAAAACAGGTGTACATGGTTTTCTGAGTTTCATGATGAATGCACTGTGTTCTATTTTCAAAAAGAATTAACTGCTCAACCCCAGCCTACCAAATGTTCCATTTCAATTAATCTTTCTATGCTATGATAGAATCAATCTGATTAAAATGCTCACTGTATGAATTTATTATGTTTATTTTCTTTTACCTCCCAATAGCCTGAACTTCCCATTCTCAAACATTTTTAGTTTCTCTCGAAGTTTCAAATTATTGGGAGGCAACTCTACTCCATCACTAGTTTTTAAAAGTTGCTCTTCTCCATCACCCTTCTCCCCCTTCTTTCCCTAACCCCTCCCAGTGTTGATTCTCTTGTTTACACCTTTTGTAGATCCATCATAAACTCAAATGTAATATTACTTTGATTTGTTGTGCAGTAACAGTGCTGGCCATTTTTCATGACCTGCATGTGGATGTGGATCTGTATGCTTTGGTGTTTGGTGAAAGTGTTATGAATGATGCCGTGGCAATTGTTCTCTTCAGGTAGGAAGAAGCGTGGGTCAGAATTCGGATTAGATATTTATTGTAACTAATAGAATTATTTGTGTCAAGTGCACAGCACAGTTGATGAACCAATAATTGCTCACTCTTGTCAAACAAAGAAAACTACTATATGTGGTTTCTTGATGATATTAAAAACAAATCAAATACAGTACTTGCGAGAGCTCTTGTGATAGAGAGATAGATTATACAGCAACTGTAAAGAGTATGTGGAGTACAGATATTGCCATCTCAATTCTTACAAAATGTTTGACAATTACTTAAAGGTATCTTTGGCTGTGAAGTCAAGAATTTCAAGGCAATTTGACTGAGAAACTATGGACTAGAAGACCCATTGAGCCACCTCCTAAATTGTCCACTGTTAAATCATGAGTTATTAATTTACTTATGTTTGAGTGTGAATTTAACATTTACCTTTCTCAACCCAAAGAATTTTTTGTGAAAGGAAGTGCAACTGAAACATACCTGTACATGTATCTTCATGCAATGTCAAGTATGGTTTGAATTAACAAATCAAGAAGCCTTGACTGTGCTCTCTTCTATTGTAAAGCATGCAGGAAGCGGCGAGAGCATGAAAGAAGTGCACGGGGAAACATGAGACGTTGTCAAATGTTTCTCCCTTCTTCTTTAGTAGCGTGAAGTCTGGGAAATGGTCTGACATAGTACAAATTGGTAACTGGCACGACGGCTTTAGCTCAGCTTTTTGTTTTGTACTATCGCTGGTAGAGCACGTTCTTTCAGCCAATGACAGTGCGCATTATATCTGAATTTTTTTATAAATGAATTAAATCAAGCTTGCCTTTGCAGATCTGTGGAGACATATCTGTTGGACAGCACAGGCACTGGATTTCAAGTTGATAAGTTCTTTGAGTCAGTGGGTGTCTTCATTGGTGTTTTCTCGGGGTCTTTCTTTCTTGGTTTTGCTATGGGTCTTGTTACTGCTCTTGTATCCTTTCAAAAGTTCATTTGACATAATTACAAACAATGTTGGATAAAATCTTGGGACACTAACGGAATCTTACAAAAATAAAATCCTTACCCCCTCCCCTCCCCTCCTCCCCCCCAAAAAAAAATTATGAATTTTTTGTCCTTTGAAAATTTTACTGAGATTTGGTGACTATTTTTTTTTTGGGGGGGGGGGGAGAGGAGGTTCTGTATTTATGCTTGAATTGGCAAAAAGTGGTATTTGTATTATATTTGGGTGTGGAGTTTGTTGTCAATATCTGTCCCATGGAGTTTTGATGTTCGTTATGAACATTTTGTGGTTTTAGACCCTTGACATCACAACAAAAACAGGTGACAAAACTCACCAAAATCTCAGACTTTCCTCTCTTAGAGACGGCTTTGTTCTTCCTACTTTCATGGACCACATTCCTCATGGCAGAGGCAGCCAATCTAACAGGTAAGTGTCTAAAAGTTCACTAAATACTAAGGTGATGGAGAAAACCTTATTATCTAGGTAATCGTGGTGAAAATAATGCTGGGAATGTAGTAAATAAAGAAAGCACTGGCTAGTAATTCTACATAGTTATCTTTATTACCATAAATTTGAGAGTTATTACTTCTCATTTTGATAACAGGCAAAAAGAAACCTGATGGATATCTTGTCATTAAAGCTCTATTATTAATGCTCTATTATTAATATAGTTGTAACCATTGCTGTTTCCTCAAATGTGATTGGTGCAGTAGCTGCTTTATTTTTCACTAATTATTATGTAAAGTTGTAATTGGACAGTGTAAGGGAGTAGTTGGTTGTACATTGTGTAATCGAACACCTGTATTCAGACAGTTCAGGCAGCCAATCATATTAGGTCAACTCAGCTAAATCCACCAATCACAGAATTGATTGTCTGTTAGCGTACTCGTAATTATTAAATCGAACGGTCGAGTGATTTTTTTGAACGCTCGCGTGATTACAGACTGAATTGGACTCCACTCAGTCCTACATGTATTGCCATTACTAATTTAAAAAAAAATGATAATGATTATAATTGTGAGAACACTCCTGATAATGATGATAATATTGATAGTGCAGTAAATAGTAATTGTCATTAATCTTCTTATTTTTTGTTGTTGATGTTTTATATGTATTATTATTATCATCATTACCATTAGTGTTTTATATGTATTATTATTATCATCATTACCATTACTGTTATTATTTTCAGTTATGTACATTGTTGTTGAAACTGTGCAATCATTTTCATGCTGTTTCCCTCTAGGGATTGTTACAGTTCTTTCTTGTGGAATATCTCAAGCTCATTACACATATAACAATTTGTCAGAGGAGTCAAAACAGAACACAAAACAGGTACTGTACTTTTAATTACTTTGGCTTGTCATTCACATGTGTACTGTACTTATCCTCAAAACATGTTTTATTTAGCTTCAGGAAAATCATATACTACATGATACTCCTGGAAAAGTAATTTATATACCGTATTCGATGGTCTAACAAATAACACAAGCGGATATTTTGCGACTTGCGTAGTAATCGAAGTCGCAGCAATGAACTAAATGTCCGCTCGCATTATGTGATTTAATTCCACTATTATTTCACTGTTTAGTACCTTGAATTTAGTTTTGAGAAATACGCCCTACCGCCTTATGTTGGCATCATATCGACTGCATAAGGAGTACGCAAAAGTCGTAAAGAACATGAACAAAACCACTGTGTTTTTTGGGACCCAAAAAAATCTGTCGCACTTAAGAGTTCGTTTGTTTAAACATGAAACCTAAAAAACAAAAACCGATCAAAGTTGCGTCGTTCATTACGGTCACTCTGTTGCTTCGTAGTTTTGCCCTGTTCTGTAGTGAAATGCTGTGGAATAATAGATCTCTCGCAGCTCTCTTCTACCAAAAATTACAAAGCTAACCTTGATATGTTTTTCAACATTTCTTTGCAGGCGTTTGCACTCTTAAATTTTCTAGCGGAGAGTTTTATATTTTCATACATGGGGTTATCTCTCTTCACCTTTCAACATCACCAGTGGAATGTTAGATTTATATCAGTCACATTTGTATCTTTTTTATTATATTGGAGTGGTGACTGGGAAAGTAACACCTAACACTTGTCACTTCTGATCTTTCGAAAATGACGTTTAATGACCAACATTTTGATTATTTTGAGGCATTTTTACGGGGCTGTGTTTCTGGTTTGAAAAGAAAAAATTGAGAAATAAAACAGTAGCTTTATGTGAATCTGTGGAGGAAACATTTTTAAACTGTTAACTTTTTAAATCAATCGTTTGCTTCTGTATTTTTTATTACTTTTTAAAGTTATGGGCTCAGTTTATGCAGAGCTACATGTAGAAGATGTGAAGAACTTTGAAGAGCGGCAAAAATCGGAGATTAAAGCAAGGGTACTGTAGTTTATGTTGACGGCTCCACGAGAGAGCAGAATCTTTTGTTTCTTTGCTCACTTTTTGTTTTATAGTTAATTGATTAGAACTTTAATTGGTCAATCAGTTTAAAAGGATCGTGAAGCTAATGAATGCTGTACACCGCAAAGGTATCAGCAAAAGCATGCAACAAAGACAATTTCACGGTTTTCCCTCCTTCTCGCTATTGTTCACCAATTGATACAGCTTGTTAACGATTAACATACCTAAGCAAAAGCCCGCTTGGGTCATGCTGTAATGGTATCTTACTGATTGAACGTTCCCTAGCCAATCATCGGTTACTGATTCTTAACTGTTTGATGTACAGCTTGCCATGACTTTGGGAAGGCTTTTAAACGTTTATCCATTGTCGTTTTTACTTAATATGGGAAGGCACAGAAAGATTAGTTACAAATTTCAGCATATGATGGTGTTTGCAGGTGAGTAATCTGAAGATTGTTTTTTCAAGGAAAAGAATGTAGAACTAGCGTATCATTGTTGATGATGGTCAGTGCTCTGAGTGGAGTACAATTCGGTCTGGAATCCTTCGAGTGATCAACAAAATTGGACAACAGCGAAACGGGAGTTCGATTTGTTAACTCTGTAAATGATGATTACAAATAGAATTGGAAGACAAAATCCTATTCGAAATTAACTGATAGAGTACGAGCAGTTCCCCTTTTTCGGCGAAGTCCGTCGCGCGATTAAAAAAAATATATCATTGAAAACACAATTAATGTTAGCGCGTCCCGAGAGCTATTGGAGTGACGTCGATACAAGTATGTATCAAAAATTTTGATACACTGTGGGTTAAACCACTTTTATGAATAAAAACATAACACGAGCTAATGAATTGGTGTGGAGTTCGTGTTGTTAAACGCCCGATTTTTTTCTACTAAAAATGATGGTAAAACTGAATGAAGTGTACTCACGGAGAACTCGGGGGAGTAATTTCAAATCGCCCAAGGACAAGGCTGTCGCTTTTTTTAGAGTAACAGACTCAACTGCAATTACCGTAGGTATCTTACTGAGTTGAGTCATGCCCACTCACTCAGGCTTTGACGAGGTATTAAGTGCTCGTTTTTTACTTGCTATCTTCCATTAATGTATCAGTGTAATTTTACACCTTTTATCCGTTCAATGAAGGTTTGCGAGGTGCCGTTGCATTCGCTTTGGCCATGCGCAACACGGTATCAGTTCCTCGTCAGATGATGTTGACGTCAGTACTAATTGTGGTTTTTGTAACTGTTATTTTCAATGGAAGTGCTACCATGTGGGTACTCTCACTTTTGAAGATAAGGTAGGATACTGTTTTAAACATAAAGCAACTAAATCCAATTACAGACATATCCATTCACAGGAATCCGTTAAAGTTCTTTTGAAATCACCTCTGACCGTTGCAATCTGATTTGATCCCAGAGTTCCAAATAATTCGCTAGTCACTCTTCTAAGAATAGCTTCACTTTTTCTAAAAGAATAAATTTTGTTTTTAAAAGAATTTAAAAAGAGTTTTTTTTCTTACGACGGAATCAAAGTTTACGTAGTACGATCTTTAGTGGGTTCTTTCCTCTTGAATCCAATTTTTAAAGTAAACATGTTCCATTTGTTTTTCAGAGTTGGCGTAGATCCTGAAGAAGAAGATAAGGGGTCTACCTATGTTTCGGTGAGCACTGTAGGTTTCTTCCGTATAAGTGTGCAAATTTTCTTGCCTTTGTCGGGGAACCATGTTTAATTAAATTGAAGACCACATAAATATAAATAATAGAGTCCGATCTTCTTTGCTTTGTGGAGCAAGGCCATAAATCCTTTTCTACCCGAATTTTGTCTTTATCTATCTTCTCTGTTATTACCACTTCCGCCATCTACTACCAAAGTTAGCCATCACTTTATTTTGCCTCGAGTCGTCAAATCTGCTCTAATATTTTCCTTGTTAGGGTATGTTGGGTCTCGCAATTGTGCCAGTTCTACCTCACAACTCTCTCTAGCCCTCCTCTGGCTACAAATGATTGTTTCATTTATACTTTATAAGCGACGTTTACCGTCGATTGCATCATCCCTTCCACGCACATAAAAAAGGGGAAAAAAATGTACTGTTGGCGTACCAATCTTCAATTTCTCAACCGCAACACTTCAGTTTTGCCACCCATTTGGGTTAAGGTTGTGCATTGCCTACCCACTTGAGAGGGTTTTCACGCTTGTTGATAGTGGTCGGAAATGGCAGTTGCTTCAAACAAGGCCAAAATATAAACTTGAAATTTCTGCCTTGTTTATCTTTTTTTTATTTATTTGTTTGTACCACCAACAACCGACTTTCGAAATCAAGAGATTAAATCTCGCACAGCTAGATAATAAGAACAGAACATTAGCTAACAATCAAATCACAGTTTTCGTGGAAAAATATTTGCGTACATTCTATAGACCTCTTGGTACCCACTTTGAACTTTTTCTGTCAAAACGTTGAAGTTTGATAGGCCAACACAACATGTTGTCATCACGTGCATGGAAGGGTAGATGCAAAGGATGGTACTTGTAGAAAGAGGTGTTTACACAGGCATTAAAGAATTAGCCAAACGTACAAAATTCAGAAGGTTGTTGTAAGCCTGTGCCTTTTTAATTTGATGAAATTATACTGTCGATTCACTTTGTTTTCTTTCCTGTTTATTGCTTTAATTTTTTTATTATTATTGGTATCCAAGTTTGTCTGTAAACAATTCAAGTTCTTTTCGTTTAGTTTGTACTTGTCAATTATTTTGTTATCATCGGTGATCGTTCTTTTCTTTTTTAATGTTCAAATCATGTAGGAAATAGATGACAATCGTAGATCTGCGCAGTCTCATTACGAAAGAGCTTGGATCTTTAGAATGTGGTATGACTTTGATGTGAAATATCCTTTTGTGAAAGAGTTACATTTCTTGCGTAGCATTTTAATTTTGCTTTTGTAACCTTCGCGATATTGATGCTGTTGTATACAGCAAAATGCACTGTGCATGTCAGAAATTTTTTATTGAAACAGCTTAACAAATTAAACTCGTTTGTTTTCGTTGGTATATGTAGGTTTCGCCCATTTCAAGTTCGCCCTCTACCCTCTTTGTGAGTTCGCCCCTGAAGGAAAGCAGGTTCGCCCCACCTATACCAGTTTTATGTCAGGGATGGAGCTATTGGGGATATATTCTTACGCCCATTTCAACTACGCCCTCTACCATTTTTGAGAGTTTGCCCTAAAGCAAAGCAGGTTCACCCCCACCTATACCAGTTTCATGTCATGGATGGAACTACTGGGGAGATTATTCAATACCAACCAATTTAGTTCTGGAATGATAATTTGTTTTGAAAGGATAGTCGCTATTAACTTTGTTATTGAGTTTGTTTTAGTTTTTATCCCATAAACTCGGTGAAAAGGTCTCAACATAGTTATACAAGTCATATTATTTACAATGATTATTGTAAACCATTATCAGAATGGACTCAAGATTCCTGATTCCTGATTCCAGATTCCTTTGTTGGTCAGTGGGTTAATTTTCTTTTTAGAGCAGGTCGCTGAGATAAACAGCACTAATGGGTATTTTTACGAAACTGTTGGGTGATTGGAAACTCAGAGTTAGTTCGTTGTAGGGCCATTTGAAATGCCCCTACAACGAAGTGAAGTGCCTACAACGAAGTGAAGTACACATCTACGATCATTTCCCATGCTGATTAAAAATTTCATCCAGCCTCTGACTAACGAAAGAGAATGTGGAGAAGAAATAAATCCTCTTCCCTTCTTTTGCGCATAGCAGAGCACGTTGCATTGGAGGTCTTTTTATTGCTCTAGGGTAAATGCGGTGAAAGCGAGACTTACTTTCACTTCCTTGACAAACTTTACGTATATGAAACCTATTTTTACCAACTATGGCCAGCCTCTGACAGAGACTTTACCGGGATGGTGCGGTCCTCTTGTAAGATTCCTCTCAAGATCGCGGCCTGATGCAAAGGTACTGTTTCAAATTTGGGCAGAAGGTTTTTCTAGATAAATGAACATTTAATCGTTTGTCTCATGGAGTGAGAGTCAGGCTAATCAATCTTGTGTTGAGCGCGACGTTAACACTGCTACACTGCTAGTCTTTGTCAGGCGACGAGGTTGATAGTTTACATTTTGCCGTCTATAGTACCTTACCTAGTTATTTTGTTATAGGTGTGTCACAGCGCGTTTTTATTGGTGCATTTCGATCATTATTGTCATTCCGTCTATTAGATATTTCTCCCTCATTGTTGGGTTTTGTTTCTGATCGACTGTCATGGTTTTTAATAGTTTGCATCCATGTTTCAGGGATTTCGATTCCGTTATCCCTGCTCTCGTTCTAAGAATAAAGCCTTATGTCAATGACTTCTTTAACCCTTCCAGTGTACCAGGGAAAGCTATGATCAGTAAACCTAACCTGGCCCTTAACAGGAACGTGTCCTGTTTCATTGTCGTGTTCGAAATCGCCGAATTGTGAGCGCGAGCTAGCGCTATATCTCTTTCATGGTTTTTAATTCTCTCTTTCATCGCAACATAAGTGGGAAATGTTCAAAACGTAGATTACATGTAGCTGTGTGTAACAGATGTAGTTTTTGACATGTTTCGCGAGAGAATATGTGCGTGCGAGTCACCCTTGTCATGTAACTCACAGGTAGATTAAGTATAAATATAGTGTGTCACTGCAAATGTTTTGCATTATTTTGTATAATAACGTTCATCTATTTAAACCGCCATTTGCAACCGTAAGTAGACAACTATAGGTGTTTACCCCAGCCTGCAGTGCAGGCGTCTCGTTAGGACGAGTTAACGTTAAGGAGCGTGCAAAAGTTTATTCAACCGTAAAGAAAACTCTTTACGGTGGCAAATTTACGTTATCAACTCATTTGATAATACTGAATTGCCCTGTTAAGCTCTTACGGGTTTTGTTTCAATGTAGGCAGAAACAGAACTGAGTTTTACCGACGAAGATACGGTCAGACTTGCCAGCGGCATTGTGAAAAGTGGTGAGCCGCCTGATCAGATAATGGAAGGAGATGTTGAATTAGGTGCTGTGCAAATGACAAGCAGAGCATAAATCATTTTCATCAAACCGAAGGTTTCTGTAGGTATTTAGTTGCTAGTTGCTCGGTCTGGTCAGGTAGTTGTGACAGGATGTCGACTTAAAGGAGAGCTTAAAAGAGAGCTTAAAAGCTGTCTCTATTACTGTGAAAATCTTTGATTGTAAGCTAGCTGTCTTTAATTGTTAAATTGTAAGTAATAAGAGTGTTTGGAATACGCGCATTGGTCAATCAAGGCCAATTAATTGGTTCGGTCTTACATAGTCTTGTAAAAGTTTAAAAGATTCCGCTCTTCGTGATTAGTGTTATATCGTTATTGACTTTCTATCGTTATTGACACTCTGATTGCAGTTTTTTTTTACCCCTTTATTGAATGTACAATTTTGAAATAGTCTTTCCTCTCGTAACACTTTATTGGAGAGGAATAATGTCTTTATGGTTTGAAAACATGTTAAGTTCAAAGCCGCATGAGAAGTGGATTTTTTTTACAATGTTAATTTGCTAATTTGCTATAATTAAATTTAATTTCAATTATGTTGTTGAATAAAAATTGGGATAGGCTCACAAAGTCGTGGTTCAAAAGTGACCTTGGAAAAAAACTTGAATTAAATTTCAACAGAGTCTTATTTTACTGATTGTTCTTGTTGAGGTTAGTTTGTCAATTTTCTTCTGACTCATGCCTAAAGCTATTGAACGTAAGTAGTTTTCCTAACAATAAGTATTACTCCTTAAACTTTGGAAGCTTTTCATTTCTAATTTTCTACCTGTTCATAGTGTAATCGGTCACAGTTGTTTTCCTTCAAATAAAGCGATATGCAAGAAATTGTACTAGAAAGGATTTGAGTAATTCAGTTAATTCGAATTTAACATTTTTTAAAGAAATTCGTATCTACTCCACTTTGCCTTCGACAAGTTAAAAATAAGATTTTGTCACAAAATCGCTTAGATTGTGATTAATTGAATCATCCATGGAACACTGTTTTTATCCAAGTTTTTTTATCCTTCACAGCTTGAACGTCACTCTTTAACGGCACTTTAAAATAGTTGTACCATAATCCTCAATGTTTAGTTGCTAGTTTTAACATATATAGTAGATCTTAAGAGAAAGATACGAACTAAGCCACCAAGAATTTGTAAGAAGAATTTTATTTAGCGAAAATTAACTTCAATAAAATAAAGATTAATAGTTTATTCTCAAATTTTGTATGGTTTCGATTTTAATTGGATTGTATTTTTTTTTATATTGTTGTTGGAGTTGTTGTTGTTGTTTTTTTTTTCATAACTAGACTAACCTTTGTTTGGTGCATATGTCTCACTCACTCAATTTTGGATGGCAAGACAAGATAACATATCACCATTATTATAAAGGAATACTTTTTTTATGCTGGTAAATATTTTAATTTGTTATTTATATAGTTCTACATTGGTTATAGCTGTCTTGAATGCACCACATTGGTATCGTCGAAAGCAGATTGAAAATGTATTTTTATTCTTTATTCAATGCAGTACAGAGGAGTAATGGAAAGCTTTTATCCACAAAAGTACAAACAACAAAAAAAGATCTCCTCATGCTTTCGACGGTCATTTTTTTACCGTAATTGTAGGAAAATGGAAAGAATCCAATTGTAGTCACCTATTCAGTTACGACTGCGTTCAGACTATCTCCCTGCTGGAGAAAAAATTAATAATGAATTCCACTGAATTGACTTGTGATAATTTTAAGCCTCCGGAAGCCTCTTCCGTGATCAAAACTCGGACATTTTTCGAACAAAAAAATTTCTTCTTTTGGAACAGCATTTTTTGAAAGCCTAAGGCGCTTACAGAAAAAAAGACGATGTAACTCTATTCTAAATATTTTTTGATTAAATTTTAATTGTTGAATAATTTGAGAAAAATAATACAAAATCAAGTGTAACTGGCTGATGGTCCACTTTTAAACTTTTGAATATATGTCTTTTGACCATTCAAATCACGTCCCCGACAATGATGTCGATTAACTAAACGTAAAACTTGCAATACATTTTCCATTAAATGCTTAACTATCCCGAAACTTACTTTGTTTTGTAAATATTGGGTTTTTTTTTCATAAACCCTCCCTTAGAACTGTATGTTACATCCAGTGATAGGTAACGCTGTATCTGCGAATATGATGCGTCACTGTTCGTTTTGTTTGTTTTCTTGCTCCTTCGGAAACTGTGAAAAATATTCACGTTGGCCTTGTTGTCGCAGAATTCTGACCTTGATTTTATGCTAGTCAGATCTACTGACCTTCTCGCTGAAATTGCATTTTTTGCATGTGTTGCCAGAGGGTGAACCTTTCCTTTGCTATTTCCCCATTTGCGCTTCTTGGAACTTTCATTTCGATCTGCGGCAATGGTCGTGAGGTGGGATGAGGGTTCGTACGGCGGAGAACCACATGGAACGAATGAATCACGAGAACACTTGTAAAGCGTTGGATCGGAGATGGATCTTCCAAGAGTCGCTTTAAGTCCCTGGTCAACTTTTCCGGCGGTGTCAGGAGAAGCGGATGTTGTCAATATCGAGCTGGTTGTTTTCCCGTTGTGTGCTGATAGCTGTATTGATGCCTTATCGTTTAATTCGTTTTTCTTAGAGGATTGAGTCGCTTCAACGGATTGTTGAATATTCTTTGTTGTTTTCATTCCCAACAACTCTTTAACGGCGTTTCGAAAACGACGATCTCGGTAGAAGTACAAGACAGGAGTTAATACAGAGTTCAGCTGCACAAATACCTCTGATAATCGGAAAGCGGAGTTCATGCTAAATGCGGGTAAAAAGGTACCCGACGTGGTAATGACGATCGAGGGAACAAACGAAATCAGAAGTCCAGCCGTTAATAAACCAGTTGTCTTGGCAACTTTAGATTCGAGTTTTGCTTTCATCATGATAGTAACCTGGCTAGTTTGGTTTTGCTTTCGCTTCCGCAGTCCGAGGAACACCATGATGTAAAAATATACAATGGCGAATAAACTAGCCATGACCAGAATGATTCCAAGTGCAAGCCACAGACCGAGAACTGTTCGGTCTACACCAACGATGATCATCGCAACGGTTGGAACCAGTTTGAGGATTGGCAACAGCCAAGCAATGGCTCCGAGATTTTGAAGGAGACGTTTGGTTACTTTGTTCCTGTAGTCCTTCCAACATTTTACGGCCATGTATCTCTCCCAAGCAATTGCAGTTAAGTGATACAAAGATATGTTGGACATTGTGAATAGCAAGAGTTTGTTTACCAAGGAATCGAACGTGCACACATGCTCTACTGAAACCCGGGTAAGCATTAGAACATCGACGATGGCTGACATCGGCATTGTTATAGCTCCTGTTATGAGATCAGTGACGGCCATGCTGCATAGCAAAATGTTGGAGAGCTTTTGCAGTTCTCTGCTTTTGTTCAAAGCGACGACTACCAAAATGTTTAGGACAGTGGTGACAGGGGCAGCAGTGAATATTACGACAACTAAAATCCATGGTAACGTTGTATTGGTCAAATCCCAGGTGAGGTATGGAGGTTTTTGGCAGAAGTACAATGAAATACTGGCAGAGGTGAAATCATAGCTGACTGTTGTGTTATTTTCCGCCATTCCGTGGCCTAATTTTGTCTAAGTGAGTATTTAGTTCCTGGACTTTTTTGTTTTGTTTGTCTAAGTTTTTGAAAAATGACCTCCACCGAGGCAGTCCTTTCCTTCCCGCTTCTGTTTCCTTCACGATGGCTTTGCCTTGCTTTGACTCGACGCTTTTTTCTTTTCGTAACTCAACAGTTATCTATAAAGGTACATGACAGAATGCGTGAATATAGCTATATTATCGAAAAGCATCAACTTCTATTTTCAAGTTAATGAGACGTTAGCTTATCTTCTTCCTTTTTTCTTTTTCCTTTTTTTACCCAGAAAGATGAACTGTTTGCAAAGCCAAAGGCGTGGATTAAAGCGCATCTGAGACAGAAATGGTTTTAGATTTAATTTCAAAGCCATCAGCATTGTTTGAAAAAAGGTATAAGAAATTAAGGTGCAACTGTTTAATTTTTCTCGATCTTACTTTAAAATGTGTCTTTTGAGAACATTAAATTAAACCTGTAAACACTACATTTATTGGGCTAAGCTTCCAATTTATTCATTTCGTATGAAGCAACTCTCGGTATTATTTTCGGCGAAGGGGATTTTCAAATTGGAAATTTTGTTGTTAGTGAATTTAACGATAGAAAGTAGATTACTTACCAGTATATTTGCAACCAATTTCTCTATGTCTCATTTCACCCTACTAGATGATTTTAGCGCGAAAAAATCATGGTGGCCATTTCTTAATCTAGATCTCAGCGTCCTGTACTTTTCAGGAAATATTATTTCAAAGATATAATTTGACGCTGTCGCTAAAGCTTGTAGAAAATGTACATATTAATAAGATTTTCTCTCTAGACTGCCGCTTAAGAGGGCGATTTCTAAAGAATGTCAATCTACCTACTAAAGTAAATTCAATTCAGCCTAAATAGTAATCCACCTTTGCACTGGTTTTGCCATATTACCTTTGTGATTGGTCCGGCAAACTCACTCCACTATTAAATAATCAGGTACAGAACTTAAACAGCTGTTACTTGGACACTGACGTCTTCCTGTCCTGAAGGCGATTTAAAGGTTTTTTTCCCTGTTTTCGAATTGGTCGCATGTAATATTTTCCTTTGAGCTCATTTGTCACTATGATTATTTAGATTTCAGTGTTACAAAAGCGTTCCTTTGTATCGTTAAAGGCTTAGTACCCTGAGGTGTGTTTGCGTGGCTCTTTTTAATATGCATGTAAGACAAAAGCAAAAATCAAACCTGACTAAGGGTAATGATAATTTGTTTTTTTCAACTGAGTTAATAAATAAATGTGAATTGGCCGCCTTAAAGAGTTTCCAAACATGACGTTTCGTGGGTTCGCTCTTCTTCAGAGCGAGTTAGTTAGGTTTAGAACTTACGAAAGGTTAGCGCTTAACCCTTCAAATTCTAAGAGTGACTAGCATCTAATTTCTCCTCACAATGTCAGCCTTGAATCACACATGAAGCTTATGAGAATAAAGGAAATGGTTACCAGGGAAGGAACCTTTTGATTGGCAAACAAATCCTCCTTGTCAGCACTTTAAGAAATGTATGAAGAACAGTGTGGAGAATATGCATACTGATGTTAGGGTGTAAAGGGTCAAAATGTCGGCCATCGATGACATTCTGTTTTTTCATGTTCAAATCACATAGGAAGCAGACCACAATCTTAGATCTGCGGAGAATCCTTAAGAAAGAGATTGGATCTTTACAATGTGGCACGACTTTGATGTCAAATATCCTTTTGCGAAAGAGTTACACTACTTGCGTTGCATTTCAATTATGCTTTTGTAACCTTCTCGAGATTGATGCTGTTGTATATTGCAAAGTGCTCTGTGTTTGTCAGAAAAGTTTTATCGAAACAGCTCCAAAAATTAATCTTGTTTATTTTCGTTGGCTTATGGAGGTTTCCAACTCATGTGAAGTTCGCCTTCCACCATCTTTTAGAGTTCGCC